CTTTTGTAAGGAAAGTGCTCCCTATTGCAGACATTCATATCAACTCAAATTATACTTATTATAGGAGTAACTAGAAGAAGCCAAGAAGCCAATAGGATTCAAGAGGAGAAACATGAGATTTTTTTTGTAGAGGCATCTTAATTATATATATATATATATATATATATATATGAAGTTGTGAATTTGTTCTACTATATATATATATATATATATATAGATGAAGTTGTAAATTTGTTCTACTACTATATTATCCATCATATTTTTTATTCAAACATAATCATATAAGCATTTATATGCAGGCTATATACAACAATATATTATCCAACCAAGTGAAGATAAAATACTACTCATTGTAAAATAGCCATTGAAAGAAGTTTAGTTGTTGCTCCTTATTTTCTTTGCATTCAAAAATATCAATCAAGCGCACTTCATGGACAAACACAACACTAGCATTAGTGAATCATTAATAGTTTACCTTTGAGGTGAGAAATGATGAGATCTTACAACAAATAAAAATTGGATTCCATCTAAACTTTACAAAGTGATTAATATCTACTTAGGGTACCTTTTGCCCACTTAGTCATCAAATAACATCCTTCAATTCCTCATTTGCAGAACAAATAAAGCTCTCTTAACAAGACTCAGAAAGGGTTTAGGATTTTAGGGTTCTCTCAAAACAAGACTCAGATAGAGCTTGCTGAAGCAGCAGTAGCATCAACAACAAACAAACAAAGTGTATACTTACTAACCGATTTAATTGAAGAATATTCCTTGGTCACTGATTCAATATTGGTTCTCACTGCGTTAGATATGCCCAGCGGCCAAACCCTAAATCTCACCTCCTTGCTTATAAGTTTACTTTTCCGACGCCGAGGTTGTGATTGGTGCCCTAGTTGTGACCATGGTGTGAGTGGTAATGTCGGGATGCGTTAACGGCAACTGTGGACGTTACTTGTCCCCAAGCAAAGGCTCTCTGATGCTCGTCCTCTTAGCTTGACGTGCAAATGATTTCGCATAGTTTTCAATCTTAACGCCGGTGTCTCGATGTTACTTTTTGCGCTCTGGCTCAGCTGGTTGCTTCACAGCGATGTTCCTCTGCTTATGCCTCACCGGGTGATCTCTGAAAGGAGATCGCTGGGGTGCGTGCTGTGTGGATGGGAGCTTCGTCACCACGAGCCTTATGATTGTTCGCAAAGATATTTGAGGTTGCGTGCTCACGTGTTTCGGTGTGCGTTGAAGCGCGAGGAGTGGGCTGCTTGTGGACTTCGTTCGCGAGGGTACTCCTCCGGAGCGGACTCTCCGCTGCTGTACGCTCTTTGTGCTCCGCATTATCTACACGTCCCACGACCTGTGACAACTTCGTTCGCTCGATGAAGGCTCACCGCGTTCTTTCTTTCTGGTCTGTTGTTTTTAACTAGGGTTTTTGATGATTTTAACTGTCAAGATCCAATCTATCATGTAGAGTCTCTTGTGTGTGTGTGTGTGTGTTCTTTTTTCTTTTTTCTTTTTTTTTTCTCCTTTTCCTATTTTCATATTTAATCTTCATGTGCGAAGATTCCAAGCCGTCGCAAAGTCTTGTAAGAATGTCCTAATGTAATCACTTGTTAGGAATAGTCAGGGTGGTGCATCAATCATCGAAGTCCTATCTGTAAAGAAAACCGCATTGAGCATGTCTAGCTCTATCTATGCTGAATACATGCGTCTGATAAAAACAATACAAAATAAAATGCTACAGCTCTGCCCCTGTACCAACTGCTGGGGTGGATCCTCTCTCACAACCACGTCACGGTGAACTGTTTTACCCATGGTGGAATGAGGGAAGTCATCCCATGCCTGCCCGAGCAGTGTACCCCAAAACATTTCAACCTGCCTGGACAGATCGAAATTGAATATACCTTGTTACGGGAGTGACTGAGTGTGTCTGTGAGATGCATGAGTCTTGCGAAGCGATGCCGATCTGCCACTGGCCTGCTGCTGCATTCCTCTTCTCACAGCTAATGCGAAAGTTCAATTACTTGATGTGAGATCTTTATGTTGTGGTTGATTGTGAAGCCCTACGGGTGATTGTAGTTAAGAATGATTAGTTTAGTTTCTTTTGAACAGCGTCTTCGTAATTTGAAAAATGACGAAAGCTAGAGAAATTTACAAAATTATTCTGATAATATAATGTGAAGGCAACCAGTTGGATTGTTGACAGGAGATGCAACGAATCGACAAGGAGCTCCACCCCACGCTGCAGCTCACAGTTATGGCTACCAGGCATCGACCCCAGTAGTGCTGCCCAACACACTCACATTCACTCACACAATTACACAGAAAATCAGCTCTTCTATGCAGATCCACCTCTCAAGTGTTGATTTTTCTACACTCGATGAAATATCAATTTTGCTGTTTCTGAAACCAGAAACCGGTGCTTGAGGACTCATTTCCTATTATATCAAGCCATGTAAAGTAACGTATCAATAACTGACTTTTGGCACAACTAATTGTTTCTATGTACCGAGCTATGTTCTACAACTGCTCTACAACTGCTGCCTTAATAGTGTAGGTGATGTTAAGGATACTTGGCAACAGTGCCTTTTAAGCAATGGGGAGTTAATTCTTATTCAGGGACTGTACACTCCATGGATGTTAAATTCCTCAGAAATTGGGTGTGGAATTATTTTGCATTATTGAAAAGTTTGAAAGTAGAGTTGTTAACATCTTATTATAGTTTGATGAGCTCTGCCACAAAAGCATTGTTGTTTTCTTGAGTGAAAATGGAATGCCTTAAACAAATAATTAAATGTCTTAACTATTATAATTTTTATGGTATAAAATAAATAACTAATATATATATATATATATATATACATACTCAGGCTATAAGTGCACTCCAAATTGCTATATACACATCCAATATGTCTACACACACATCCAAGGTCTCTTATTAGTTGCTCTAGGCTTCCTTTTCCTTGTCTCATTATAGGTGATTGTGTTGAAACCAAGAAGTAGGAGAGGAGGTCCAAAACCTATATTGGGATAAAGAAGAGGGGATCAAGAGCAACCAATTAGAGCCATTGGGTGTGTGTATGGACATAATGGGTGCGTGTATAGCAATTTGGGGTACACTTGTAGCCTAAGCCATATATATATATATATATATATATTAATGTAAACTTGTGTCATTGGACATTGTAGTCTTTGGTATTATCATCCATCCATTCTTTCATTCATCCATATTCCTTTGTTTCCATGTTTGGCCAATGAGAAGGCTTCTTTGTCTTTGTATCTTATATCCAAGTTTTTTTATATAGTAGATATATAATCATTCCTATTAAACATTTTGACACAATGTCAATGGTCACACCATTTAAATTTCAATAAACAATACATAAATTGCTTGTCAAAATAAATATTGATTTGATTTGATTTTTAATTATTTACATTATTTACCTGGAATTGTTTTTTTATCATGGAAGAAAATCAATTTTTTATTTGGTATCATGTCTTTTCAGTAACTCATAGAATTAAAATATAATGTATTTGTTTTATAAAATCATAAAACTATGATCAAGAAAATGATAAATAAACTCTTTGTGTGATTAAGTTAATGTTTTTAGATAAATTATAATTACATATTTTCTTTGACATGACATAAGTAAAATAAAAATAAAAATAAAAATAAAATCTATGAGTTTTTAAAAAAATGTTTTTCAAATCATCAATTCTAAAAACAACAACACTTGCTATGTCAAATAGTTTAAAATTTTGTATTTCAATATGAATTACATTTGGTTGTTTCATTGATTGCATTCTATTAAATTAAATTTTATTTTTTCAGCTGAAATGAATAATAAAAACATTATAAAGAAGTCAAGGATTTGGTTAAAACATTTTATAGTCACACTTTAAAATACTAGTCTAAATCCAAAATGCTGTAATTTTATATAAACTGTATCAGATACTCATATTTTATTTAATTAAAATTTTCAACATGTGCAAAGGTATTTTCTTCAAATATATTAAATTGAAAAAATTATATATTTGTACACACACACACACAAAAAAAAAAAAAAAAAAAAAAAAAGGCATAAATTATTTTTTAATTCATGTTTCGAATTTCTAACTTTGAGTACTAATTTTTAGTTACTTATATGAATATTAATGTTTTTAATGAAATAGTTGTTACACTGAGATCCCTTGCGGATTTGTAAGTGATCCATCCAACTTTTCATTTTGCTTCTTCTGCAATGTCCCATAAAGTCTATTTCTTTAAGTCTCTGCAACTGGTTCGTGATAGTGAAGCTCCAACCATCGGCTGTAATCTTGTATAAATACTTTAATTATACGCCCACAGCTTACAAATTAGTTTATTTTGTCCAGATGCTAACACATTTAAGTTTGTTTTAGGAAATTGTTAGGTGGACATCCTCCTTTTATTGCATGGACACCCCACAATGTCATATTCCAATTTAATAAACAAATAAAAATGAATGGTCATTTAGAATTGTATCCAATGACTTTTGTATTATATTTTCTACTTGAACTTTAGTATATATAAAATCAACTTTATTTTATTTAGACATTATTATTATTATTATTATTTATTGTTATGAAACTTACGTTCCATTATATGTTTGTGAGTGTCAACAGAATTGACTTTGTGCATACAATAGTTTTCAAACACAGTTTCAAATAATGGTCATTCATTTTAATGTGTGGCACAGGGTGTTCGCCTAGCAATTCTACTGTTTTTTCTTAAAATAATTTTTGTTGTTCTGACTTAAAACATGAAATTTTATTCGGTGTTGGAATGGGCCAGCCATACACACAAGACTGGACACACTAAAAAAAAAAAAAAAAAAAAAAAAAAACTATGTTCAGTAATGGAATGGAAGAGCCCCGCACCAACACTCCAACACACAAATCTGGACACACTGAAAACACAAAGCGGTGTCATCTATTTCTCTTCATTCATCCATTATAAGGTAATTCATGCAGTCGGCCGAGAGATCGAAACAGGGTTTGTTGTGTCATGTACCCCAGTTAACATTGTGTAGACATTGCAGACATTGCTCTGGCCAGGCAAAAGTTGTGAGCTGCTGCTGCTCAACACTGCTGCTGAAGACAATGCGTGTTGTGTAGGGGAAGACTGCTGTGTGTGATCCAGCGGGTGTTGGTGTGGGCTTTTTTCTTAGGATTCAATACTTCGTGGAGGTTGTGTTGTTCCAACTGGTTTAGGGCTGGGTTGTCAACTTGACGTCTTATCAACATGGCTCGAAATGAAGAGAAAGCGCAGTCTATGTTGAGTAGGTTCTTGGCGGCGAAGAGTGATGAGAAGAAGAAGCCGAAGGAGAAGCGCCCTTTTCTTGCGTCGGAGTGCCGTGATCTCGCAGACGCCGATAAATGGAGGCAACAGATTATTCGTGAAATCGGTCGCAAGGTTATGGATATTCAAAATCCGGGGCTTGGAGAGCACCGTATTAGAGACTTAAATGACGAAATCAATAAACTGATTCGCGAGAAAGGGCACTGGGAGGCGAGGATATTGGAGCTTGGAGGACCTAATTATGCTAAAACTGCACCGAAAATCACTGACGAGAGCGGCAAAGAGGTCAGGGGATGATGCTAGCATCACATATTGTACAAGTCGTATTTCTTCGGTGTCATCGAGTCTGTGTTTCTTCGTATTGCCCAATTGTTGCACTGGATAAATTGGCACCTGCACGCATGTGCAGCAACAGTTGCAACCTTGTTTCGAGTGTTGACTCGGCTCTCCTCTCCATGTTGAGGGACTTTAGGAGGTTATGTCATATTTGTCTAAATTACTGGGCAATGTCTGTAGGTGGATGCAGCTAGTGGAAAAGGCATGGGCTACAAGTATTTCGGGGCAGCCAAACAGTTGCCAGGAGTGAAGGAGCTTTTTGAATTACCAACAGAAATCAAGAAGAAACGAAATCGGTATGAAATGTATAAACGTATTGACATGGACTATTATGGATTTCGTGACGACGAGGACGGAGTTCTCGAGAAGCTAGAGCGAGATGCAGAGAAGGAAATGCGGGCCAAGGCTATTGAGGAATGGGAAAGAATAGAAGCCGTAAAAGCTGAAGCCCGCAAGGGTGTCAAGGAGGTATGATTGTCGATCAGCAGCACAGATGTGCTGCAAATGTCTTGAATGTAGTCTCTACTGGTTTCAGTTAGTGTGTGTGTAGGTGGTAGTACACCCGAACCATTTTTGGTGGCTATGTGCGTTAGCTTAATTGGATTGGCGTATATTTCTAAGTCACCTTTTAGTAATCGGATTGTCGGAATATCATGGCTGCAGGTCGTTGTCATGAGACCTGAGACAAATGGCAGAGCGGACAGCGATTTGGAAGATGATGTTGACGAAGATGAGCAAGAGAGACGTCCCAAGCGGTTTGAGTTTGTTGCCCATGTGCCCCTTCCAGATGAGAAAGAAATTGAGCGCATGGTTGTAGAAAAGAAGAAGCTGGAGCTGTTGAGCAAATACGCAAGTGATGACCTTGTAAAAGAAGAATTAGAAGCGAAGGAGATGTTAAACATACGCAGATGAAAGCTTTGTCTTCTTAGTCGGATAACCTGCTCGGGAAATTGACCCTCTGGCAAATCTACGAACAGCTTCTTCATGGGTCGGGCATCGATTCCAAGATGGTTCTACCCAGACACTAGGAGCTGCTTATAAACCTGCATTCCAAACTAGAGTTTTACGGCAGTCATTTTAATCGGTCCAGGATCAGATACTGCTAGTGCCTCTTTGCTTTATCAGAAACTGTCAGTGCATATCAGCGTCACATTGAGTAGCAGTGAACCACTTTTTGTTTGGTTCGGCCGCTCTTAATGCTAATTGCTAATCGACAGTGTTCTTGATGTGAAAAGGCTGAATTCTCTGTTATTTTGAAGCGAACATGCTCTCCCAGGAGTGCATGTATGCACCTGTTATGAAATTAACTCTTGCAAAACCAAGGACAGAGTACTAAGATTACTTTGCAGTACTCACCAGAAGTACTGCAACTCCAGGTGGTGGGGTTTTGTCTATTTTAAACACTTTTTACACCGGGGTGAAGTCGAGAATGTGGGTGCGGCGGGAAAATGTGGTAATGGTTTCAAAAATGCAGGACTAGATGACATCGTTTCCGCAGAACAGGTACCTACCTCGCACTATGACCTTTTAAAAAAGAAATTTAACACAATTATTTTTGGGCAATTAGACGAGGATAAAGATTTCGGATTCATTAAATTGGTATGGTATAGGGAGCTATTTAGATTTTCGATTGGCCCAGCACCTATTGCTCCACAGCCAGATGACATCTTTCAATACTGGAGATTTATCAACCATAGAAAGGGGGGGAATTGTTCACTACAGTCTTCGTGCACAGCCACCAAGGATGCATACACCAGCCTTCGCTTTGAAACCACCGGCAGGCCCCTGCTCAGGCCCCGGGCGCTGACAGCCCTAACCTGGGCGGCCGTCACCAGTGGCGACCGGCAGCGCAAGGGGTTAAAATAATTAACTAAAAACATATTTCTAAAAAGGAGAATACAAGTGCATTGAATCAATAATACAAAAAAAATATAATAAAATAAAGGAAAATACCTTCTTACCTTTGTTCATGAGACTAGTGATATAATAGGATTAAAGTATTAATCAGAATGAAATTTGAAAGTGCGAAAAATACTATAATTTTTTCTAAAAAATTGTAGTACGCATCAACACTTAGGTTGAAAGAAACAAAAAATTGAAAAATTGAAATACGAAAATAGTTTGCGAGGTCAAAATTATAATATAAATTGGAAATAAAAAAATATGAAAGAATATATGAGAATGAAAATGGAAGAAAAAATCATAGATATAATTGTAAAACGAGAGACAGATGCTCTTGGCGAAATACAGTGCCAACAATCGATAATGGGTGTTTACAGGAATCTAGTGACCAATCTAGTCGCTCTACACAACTGTCCACCATGTTCAAGCTTTACGATACAAGCGTCGGTAAGCATTAATAAAGTAGCTGCATTGGATTGGACTTCACAACCACTTTGCAACAATTCTACGTGGATGAACCCACATCAGTTACTTCATAAGAAACTCCATGCAACATCATGCAGCTGCTGCAAAATCCATGATTGTTTGGAAAGGGCACGATTAAATTGAGTGGAATGCATCAGCATGTAATTAAACCTTTCCAGTGTACTTGTAGTGAAGTTCATAATCGTGTCGCAATGTCATTAAGGCACCTCGCCTTGCACCCTCTGCTCAACCAAAGAAAAGGGAAAAAAAACATAATCAGATGAGTCACGGAGAATTGAATATATGGGCTGCATATACAATTTTCTAGCACAAGTTGTGGAACATAAAACCCCAGTACTACGAGATGACCAATGTTACAATGTAAAGGTAATAGAAATCACCTCCTAAAGCAGCGTGAAGTTGCTGCAGGTCGTTGCCAGAGCATGCATCAAGCAATGCAAAGGCACCTGGGCGAAGAGCAGTGTCCACCTCTCTGTTCAAGATTGACATGATTAAATTCTCACGGTCAGGTTGACAAGTGCATTCACAAAAACGGCTGAAAACTACAACCCCCTCCCCCCCTACACACACCATTTTTTGTCCATGCATCTTCACATGCATGTTTAGTCCGCGAGCGAAATGCTAAGTGAAAAGATTTAACAATCACTGACCTTCTTAGGCCAGAACCACCATGATTGTACCCAGAGATCACATTCAAATAATCTGCAAGAATGTGAGCGCAATACTTGCCCATGGTCTCCTTGTGTGCTTCCATCTGAAAGAAAAATGTTAGTAACGAACCGTATGTTTCTAAACCCTTAAATGTCCTGAGTGACTGCATTGATGACCGAACACATGGGATTCTAAACTCCGGACAGTGAATAGTACTATTAAATTTGTGCAAGACCATCCATGAAGATCAAGTATATAAGGCTAAAAATTTCATTAAGACATAAAAATTGAATTGAAACAAGGAAGAGAGACCTCTTGATAAACTCGGCTCAGCCAACTTCCACATTGAGCAGGCCCTGCTGCTGTCGTGGAAGGTGATAAATCTGCTTCTTCCCTCCCACTAGGGGCAGCTAAGCATTGCAAAAGAATCCGACAGGATTCACCCAACAATGCCATGCTATGTCCACATTCCCTGTGTAACACAACCATGGAACCATCGTCTTAAGCTATCATGTGTGCTGAATTTTCAAAATTAAAAACTGAAATCGAAGGCAGAACTAGACGGAAATCGGTCTTAGGTCTCTTCACACTAAAAAGTCTTTCCACACAACAAGTCTTCGCATACAACAGTTTCTTACAGCTGAATTGCTGGAAGCCTGATCAGCACTCACATAAATATTTCTTGAAAGCTTTATGCACACAACAGTGCTGTGCTACTAAGACCGTCTACAAGGATGGACTACGTAAAACTGCAGTCCAGTTGACTTACCGTATGCGGTGCCGCAGCAATGCACAAAGAAGTTTGCAGCAAGCAACATACAGCCTGACAGACATTCCACTAAAACCCTGAGAAAAGGGCTCCGTCATTGTGGCTTTCAAATCATGTAGAAGTGCCTTCGGATTCCCACAATCATAGAAAGATCTGAAAAGCACGGCAGGACATTGGAGGGCCATGGCCACAAAACAGGCCTTCATTGGGAAGATTACAGGTCGAGCTGCTAAGGAGGTCAAAATCTCAAGACTACGGAGGACTACCGGAGCCGCATCCACCATGCTCAACATCCGAGTCCTAGACACGGAGATGAGCTGTCTTTCAAGAAATATTGAGGGCCCTTGGCAATGCGCGATAAGGTTCAAGAGTCCTCCATAGAATGCTGGGCAGTGACTTGCAAGTAAGTGCAATCTCATCTTACCTGCAGATCACAAAGATAATTATGAGCAGCGAATCCTATACTGCCAACGAGACTTGAACATTACTTAATCATCAATAATCCAGAAAATAAGATACCTAGAAGTCGAAGATGACTGGTTCATAACAAATAAGTCTGCTTGAGCAATATGATGCCTGACTGACATATCTATATACACAATAGAAATACTACCAACCTAAGTTTACATTGTAATTCCAAATATCTAGAAAGAGGAACAGGGAGAAAATGAAAAGAAAATGGAGAATAAACATTATTTAGGTCACCTGACACAGCCTGTAATGCGAGACCTAAACAGTCAACGCCAGCAGCTGCAACAGGTCCCACATGACAACCACGTACTTCGCTGATGTCAAAGCCTAACCCTGAATCAGAACATCCCCATACACCAGCTACAGCTTTCTCCACAGATTGCAAAGCGAGGACCATGTGCTGCCGAGGAGCATACTTCAGGAGACTCTCGAATGACCGTCGTATGCTGTACAGTAGATCGTCTATCTGGTCAACTCTCTCTAGCCTTTTACTTCTGCGAGATTCCAATCCTCCCACATCATGATCATCAAGATCCCAATCGGATGGTTCTACTCTTTCCAACATAGTGTCCTTAAGATTCTTAACGGTGCTCGTGGCAGAGTTCTCCTTCAAGACTAGAAGTGCCCCAGTAAGCTCTACGTGCAAATTAACAAGCTTGACGAAATCTACAGGTGAGATGAAGGATTTCATGCAGGGAAGATAAGCTCCAACTGACCCTAGGTAATTGATGACTCCAACTAACCACCCAGGATGAGCCAGCTTCTGAGTCCGAATCGACTGGACTGATCCTAACAACAACCGATAAGCTGCCAAGAGAAGTGTGTCTAACGAAAGAGGAGACTGCTCTTTAAAGCTGATAAAATTAGTTAGTTCCGGGGTGACCGATGTGTATGAAAAGGGGGAATAAAATAAGCTGCGCAGCTTAACGATAGCCGCTACTGCCATGTAAAGCTCACCAATAAACTCTGTTTTCTCTCTCGTACTTTCTTCCAGAGCACTACGAAGGAATGCAAACTGTGATGAAGGCGACTCTTCCATTACACTAGTTTTTAATGCTTGAAAACTAAGATCCTCGGACATGGCCTCTGTGTAATGTCCGTCGACCTCAAGGACTCCTTGGGCCTCTGTATCCTCATCGTCGGGCTCTTCGTCACTTGACGTCACATTTAGTGACTCTTCTTCTTGAAGATCCCTTAATTCGTCTTCATCGAATTTATCTTCCCTGACAAGATCCTGTTCCACATTTTCATTCACTTCTGAGGCCTTGACGCCTGTTTTGGTAAAGAATCCAAGATCAGTGGTACCCATAGGAAACAATACCTGAAGCAGGATACGAACTAAAATTGGTTCAAGTTCTTTAACAACAAAAAACCAAGCTTCTGGAAGCTCAGTTCGCCACACCAATGAAGTAGATGTGGAAGTTCGACACTCTTTGTCGACCCTTTCAAGCGCCATTGTCATACTCCATAGGGTGCTACTGATGGCTGCAACTGTTGAAATAGGACCGTACCATTTCGAACTTTGCTCACTTTTCAGAATGTTTTCAACACTCGTGGCTTCTGCAACCAAAACTGTCCCAAGCGCAGACACAGCTCTCAACTTCTTCGACTTTCTTTTTCTCGACTTCAGATCCGCTGGAGTAGGCACATGCAAAGAGGCATTAGGGCTAACGAGCACCTTAGCCTCAGCACAACAAATATTTGCAATAGAAGCTTCAATAACAGCACAGGTTTCATTTAGCAGAGAGTAAAATACACCGGAAGCATTCCGCTTAAAAGGCACACTCGAAGGCTCTTGTGGATTTTTATCATCCATGCCCATGGGAGTCTCAAGAGTACGCATGGCCACAATCTTAGGTAAAAGAGTCACACATTGAGTGTTGGTCGAGCTCCCAAACAAAGTACGAGTGAAGTCTGAGGATATAATACTAGGTTCCAAACTAGCCGACGAATTGGCGAGAAAATGCAGTGCACGCCTGCACGCAATCAGAGTATCACCCCAAATAAGACGGACGTTATCGGATGGACAATGCTTTAGTTCTGATTCCACATGAGAACGTTTGAGGTGCTTTACGGCTTCTTTGCCGCCAAGGAGGAAATTAACCAAGACCCTGCAATCAATATAAAAAAGTTAAGTCAATGTTCAGAACGAAATGCACATCGCAAAAGAGTCACAAATAAATACATCCTGCAACAAACTGAACAAAATAAAGCAGTACTGAAAGTAAGATGCAGGCTCCAAAGAGACCATTTGGTGTGCAAGTGGAAGCAGCATCCAGACACTTTAGACCAGTTCAACCAAAAAACTGAAAAACATGAGTGCAATACTTGTCCGGCAACAAAAAAGAAAAATAAATAAATAAATGAAATAAAAACCACAAAATCCACAACGATGCAAGATCCTTACATTTCCAGTTGACAGATTGTATATGCACATCCAGCATTGTCGGCTGATGGTAGATAACCACACGGAAGGGTCGCTAGTAAGTGGAGAAGCCTGCTACAATCCCTAAATGTCTTTTGATGCTCCTTATTCAAAGCTAATATTTTCAGTGTCGAAAGCTTCTCAAGAGAATTCGTCTTCAGTTTCACCTTCTCTATAAAAATAGCATCGCTCTCTGCGGCAAACGGTGGTGCAGCACCCTCAATGCAATCACCAATGATATTGAAGATAGGACAACCCTCTTTGAAACTTGACAGCAATATCTTCTTCAACTCCTGAAGAAATGCTGTTGCGAACACTTTTCTTATGCCCTGGATGTACAAAGTGAGCCTGTTAGATGGTTGCGGCAATAAAGTTAAAGACAAATTTTACAATCAAAGAAGAAGGCGTTTGCAAGGCAACATCGCATTCCTCCAACTTAGAAGTGAGAATAATCACAGGGAGTGTTCATACAGCTACTGGTTGACATTATAAAAGAGATATACAGAGTACATTATCCAACAGAACCTCTGGATTTTAATTAAGAGTCAAGTAATCTAAAAGCACAGTCCTATAGATCGTGCATTGACATCATGCAACACCTTATTCCATGATCAAATGATTTTGAAGTCGATATTAATTCGAAACTAACCTCAAGTTCATAAAAATCGAGATTTTTGAGAAGGCCATCAGTGATATCTTCCAAGTCCTCGTCTCTGCTCTCCTCAACGCTAACAGAACAATCACCTTCCTCTGGTATATGAGGATTCTTAGCGTCATCCAAGACGCGACCTTTCCCAATATGCAGTAATGCCATTACAAAATTCTTCAACTGTTCCTCATTTGCAAAAGTTGACCATACATCCACTGTGTCGCAGATGAGGCGCCATCTGTAACATATTCAGACATCATTACAAATTCCGACTTTAAGAAAGTAACCCTTGAGCAAAAGAATGTACACAGGTGCACGATTCTGTAAAGCGTTGGTACTTGATGATTCAATGGAATGTGGTAATCAAGGTTATTAGAGACACATATTTTAGTACTAGAGCAGAACAACCCAGTGATGTGTAGACACTGATAATAAAATCTCAACCAAAACTCCGCATTTCTCAAATGAAAAATTGATAACGACAAAGAGGAGCGAACCCTGTGAGGAACCATAATATACAAGCGGCACTAAAATGACAAAGAAAGAAATGCGCAAGCCTAATTGTAAGCATCTTAAAATCTCTAAATGACCTAAACAGTGAGAACTTAATACTATGTACCTGGCTACATGTATCAAGTTGAAGTCCAAACTTGTCAAGACTCGGTTCCATTTAACACTAGTCAAAGAGGTATCCTCAATCTTAATAGCATCAAGATCTTGCAGCACAATGGATACGAGTTTTGCTCCTTCTTTTTCAAGTGATCGAAGAACCTTCATATACTTTTTTGACTCCGTTTTGCCAATGAGAAATTTAAGTGCCCAGATACGACGATCAAGGTCTACTAAACTTTGTATGGCTATGGTGTTGATTATGTAAATCATTGTTGGTAAGCACAAGCCATCCCCAATCACACTACTTTGAAGAAGTTTCATCAAGAACGTTGACATCTTCAACGACCCCCTTTGTAAAGACAAAAGGAATTCACTCGCCTTCGAGTACGAAATCACCTCAGCCTCATCCGCGACAAGAAAATTAATTTCCACATCGAGAGTAGCCATTCTAGCTTTTCGTGCAGCCTTCGGAGGCATTAACAGTAAACACTGACGATACAGGACTCGGGAAGATAGATACATAGACAGTAGAAACAGTGGCTTTGACGAAACACAGTTCTCCTGCATGGAGGAATCTTTTCCAACAGAATCAATTCCACTTTGAGCACAAACATCAACCAAATTCGTCATGGGTGGAACAAGGACCTTCATCAGGAGCTCCCTGACAGCACCACCGGCAAGGACACTATTTGATGAAGTCACATTTGCATTCTCAAGAATGCAGGTATAAACCTCTAAAAGCCCCTTAGCTGATCCTGAAAAATTCTTGATCCTCCACAAAGACGTTGTTTGTTGAGTATCAAATGAATCAAGTGAATTTGCAACTGCCACTCGTAAACCTTTCAAGAGATTTGCCACCTGTCCTTCAGGGAGTTTATGTATCACTGATCCCAGAGTTACTAGAAATGTTTTTGAACATATTATATTCTTTACTGGAATAGAGAGAACTTCATGCTGAGAAAAAATTTGAAGAGCTGTTAAGGTATCCGTGAGGTGGAAAATAGGAATATCGACCTAGCACAAACACAAACGTCATTAGGAGCAGTAGAAGCTTACCAAGCATATAAGGATCATATAATCAAAAGGAAATAAAAAGATTAGAATCGAATACAGGCACAGTTCACATCGAACTAAAAATGCAAAACGAACAAAAATAAGAAATGTCTCGAAAATTTGTGCTCAGGTGTATGATACCAAATGTAAGATCATAAATCCAAACAGAAGTCATAATTTAGGAAAACTAATGTATATAGTGCTGTTAGGAGTAGAGAACTGGCTAGAGACCTGTCTGAGTAGAGCTTGCGTGACTAGAGTCCGAGCTTTCTTGGAACAAAACACAAATCAAACACCAACCTGTCTTAGCTCGCTGTACATATTGACTAATCCAGTGCAGAAATCCAAGGCCTTCAATGTCGTCTCCTTAGCCACTTTAGCAGGGGCAACCATTTTGAATACAAACATCCATATCGATGACAACTGTTCCTCAAAAACCCTGTACTCAAGTTCAAGAAGATGTTGAAGTGCGAATACAACTTCACGGAAAATCTCTGTTTCATTTGTGCGATTGACCCTTGACTCAGTCTCAGATGATCGCTTTTTCTTCTTCAAAACAGGAGTTACTGCGTCTCCATTCGACCAGGCATCAAAAGCTTTCGTTCCTACTTTGATTATCAAATTAAGAATCTCCTGAAGGAAATTGAAATAGGTCAGTGTGAGAGTGTCCTCTAATGTCTTGTACGCTCGCGACTCCTTGGCAGCTGCAAGCAGCTCATTTACACCTCGCATCAATAGAGATACTGTCATCACATGCTCTTCTGTCAGATCGAATTTTTCCGCTTCAGACCCGACGAGCGTTGAGAGTTCCAAAATTAGCGGCCCCACTAATTCGCCGAAGACGGTAAAAAGCGCGTCTGTTTCATTTGCATATCTTTTTGGATGTGGGGCAGCACTTTCACCATCTTTTTCTTCTTCGATATCAGCACCAGACTTGTCACTTGACTTTGATTCACCGATTCTCTCAACCTTGTCACCTAAAGTAATACTCAAGCATTAGGATTCCTTTCTATTAGCAGATGTCACGGATTATAGAGGCTTCCGACCAATCTAGGTCTTGTAAGCACGACCCAAACTTGTAACTGAATTTACGTCCAGTGGATTCAAGGCGAAATTGGGCATAACAGGAACAAAGTCTCTCCAACAGCAAGGAATTGTGAAACAAATTTAGCCGGCATTTTCCCATCCAATCCTGGACTACTACCAAAAAGAACTTATACATTTTTTCAAAGTTCTATACACTCACAGCGTAATCCTAGACTCGTATCTTAACAAAAGATTACTCGATTCAGGAAAGCAAAAGAAATGTAGACTTAAGCCCTCTGGGAGACAACCGACTTGAAACCTGCCCCCCAAGTATTTCCGTAAATAACACACGCACGCAAGCAGGAACTAAAGAAGGGAAGGGGAGACACCATGTTGTTGCGATTCGCTCATAGAGATGTACCTAAATTTCAACATATACGTCACTGAGTTCGGCTAGGCAGTACCTGGAATGCTGTCGAGGAGCTCAGTCTTTCCTTGACCTCGGACTCCATAAACATCCTCAGATAGTGCAACTTGTTGCGCTTTCCATCTCGTGGCATATATCTTGAATGTGCGACCAAGTCCAATTAGCACTACGAGATTCCCTGATTTCCTTAACTCATCAAGTTTCTGGAAGAACGTACGGTGATAACTTCGCTGCCAACCCTCCGAGTTCTTGCTCCTATTCGCATTTGTATCGACTTTTTTCTTTAGGTTCATGCACACCTCAAAATACCCTCCAACGTGAGATGAATGAAATAAACCGTTCTCAATAATATCTTCAGCTGCGCTAATTAGCTTTGAAAGCGATTGATCACCATTACTAATTGAATATCCAATAACCTCAAGCAGAGGCTCTAGTAATCTTGCTACAATAGACTGGAAAATTTTACTCGGATTTGGATGTGACGCAACAGTTCTAGAAAATCCTTCTACAATACCACTAACCAACGCCACAACGGCAGAATCTCTCGCAGAGATATTCTTACCGTCTGGCCTCAACAGATTAAGGGCTCCAGAGGTTAAGGATACCCAGCTATCTACGTTCGACCTGAGAGGCCGACTATACTCAGTAAACAAGACGGAAACTACTTCAATTAACTCCATCTTTAGACTTTCGGACAAAGATAATGAAATGCAGGAAGTGAGTGGGCGCATTAGCGATGGAGAGATGCCGGTGATCCGGTGAAGATAACCAGCCAACAAACAAAATTTCAGAATTGACCAGTAACGCGAATCCAAGTGCGCAGGAACACCGCATTTTTCATCCGAGTGAGAGGAAACTCCAGGTTTAGACGACCTAATAAGCGCTGATTGCACCCACTCGGACAAGAATCTGATGACTTGGGGCAGATTTATCCAAGCAGCGTCACTCTCTGTCAATGCGCTGCCAACGTCACCGGCACTATCCTCCTCAAGAGATTTTACGGAATCGATAAAACTCATAGCCAGCTCAATTTTCCTGCGGGTACATCATAATCTCATCATCAATTCATTTAAATCCGCAAGGCATCCTCGGCCAAGCACTAAGCCTTTCATAAATATGACCTAACACAATCGAAATCAAAAGTTGACTCTTCGAACAAACCTCTCCGTGCGGGTAGTTGGCAGCCGCAGCGCTTGAACAAGCTCCAACCGAGTTGCAATATTGCAACCAGTCAAGTCCCGGCCGCTTGAACAAGCAGAACTGATCTCCGCCATCGCCACCAGGAACTTCCAAACTCCCACCGAAACCCTAAACCCTAAACCTCTTAAAGGTCAACACAAGCCTGGATTCTGACACACGCGGCACCGTAATACATTCTCTTCATCAACCCCTCCGAAAATCCCCATCAACTTTGTTACAAACACCTCCAAAACCACTTCCACGCTGTAGTACTACCACTAAAATCACGGTGGCCTTTCCCCTGCAACTCTCAGAAAATTGCTGCAGCCTGCGAGCTGAGACCACGACCATACTCTGTAAACAAAAATAAAAAGCCACGTCAATCAACTCCATCGTATGACTTCCCGACGAAGACAATTAAATGCAGGAATTGAGTAGGCGTACAGAGAGATGCAATTGATGTGATGGAGATAACCAGAAAATTAATGCGAACCTTCAAAATTGGTGTGGAAAGCGACAACAGGTGCGCAGGAACACCGCACTGAGCATCTGGGTGAGAGCAAACACACTAAGTGCTGATTGCAATCACACTAAGTGCGGATTGCACCCACTCGGACCAGAGGCCGACGACTTGCAACAACTTTGTCCAAGAAGCGTCGTACTCTGTGCGCCGAGGACGACGACGCCGCCGCCTGGCACTCCTTGCCGCCCAGCCGTAGCCGCCGTCCTGGAAACGCAACCGCGCGGCAGTAGCCGTCCCATGGCAACGAAGACTTTGTAGGGGATAGGGTCTTTTTTGCTCTTCGGGCAGACGGTCAGGCGCTCCCCTTAACTCGTCGGTGGCGCTGACGTCACTGCCGCGCTGCCCGCATTGCCCCAGTTACATCACAATGTTTTACATTTTTTTATTTAGTTGATAAGTGAATTTAAAATATTTTATAAAAAAAAATTCACATTTAGAGAGATTGGTAATATGAGAGTATCATTTTTTTATCATCATAAATAATCAGAAGAACAGATTTAATGAAAATTGGAGCAATTTGCTAAATATTATATAAGAAGTTATGAAAGTAATAGATTCTTTTAGCTCTTCCAAAGATGAATATTAAAACATAAATATTCTAAAACTATCAATTTAAAATAATATAAATCTTCAAACATAAAATATAAAAAAAAAAATCAAAAAAAGCAGGTCGAACACACAATCGTTTTTTCAGAAATAAAACTTTATGAATGTTACTGTTGTGTTCATCAGTAAATAATATAGGTCATCTTTTGAAACTGCATTTTTATTAGTGTTATATCTAAATTATAATTAAAACTCTCTATTGAAATTCTTTGAAATAAATATTTTTAAAAAATCAAATAATTAGCTAAAATTTTGAAATTTAAGAATATGTTTTACAATCATTCAAAATAATAATAATAATAGTAGTAATAACTGAATATTTAATATTTAATAGAAACACATATTTTTTTAACTTAGAGCCAATTTAATAAAAGTTTTATGTTATCAGTATAGCATTGAAAATAATAGATCAATAGTATCTATTCAAAAACATATATTTTTTTCCTAAAATTTGGAATCAAACAATTAAAAAAGTAATTAAATTTACTTACTATAAGAAATAATTATAATTATTTTTTATTAAATAATCTTTATATATAAGAAAAAAAAGTATTTATATTTATAAAAATTAAATATAAAATATGAATGAAGTAAAAATATTAAAAAAAAATGAAAACAGATTCAACGAAAGAAAAATAAACAATATTTGATGATCTATTGGAATGCCTGTGTGATCAACCACAGAATTTAAGACTCCACAAAGCTTAAAGCAAATTTTAAAAAATATATATTATTGATTAAAGTGTGTTTAATAAAAAGGAAATAACAATTATAAAGCTAAATGAAAAAAATTGTCAAAATTTTATATGTATAGATGTAACTTGCTTAATTTATAACCTTGGTGAATGGACATTTTATAAACTATGCAAGGAGTATTAGTTAAGGGATATAAGTTTGTGACCTAGAAATGATCTTTGTTCTAATAAATATGATTAAATAAGCAAGGAATATTAATTGAGGGGTATCAAATAAATTGACATACATTTATAATTGACCAGGACTAAATATGCAAGACATTGAATTTGTTTTAACATTTATTTAATTTTTTAAAATTAAAATCAATACCATAGATATTTTTTGTTTACATTATAGTAATGACCACTTGTCAAAGTAGTAATTATTATTTTTTAAAAAAACATGTTTATAATCCATGTAAGAAGAAATATGGTTATTTTTAATATAATTAGAAGTGTTGATTTTTTTTCTTATTTTAAATTAGTTGAATTAAAATGCTTTTTTTTTTTCTTGTTCTTAAATTTTTTAATTTATCAAAAAGTTATTAGTCAAAATCACAATTACAAAAATAAATGTAAATAAATATATTGTAAGTATTTATAATTGAAAATTAGATATGGTTCTAATTATTGTAAATATGAGGTAGAATGCATTTAATTTATTTATTTTTTATTTGGCATAAATAATGTTGTCTCTAACAATTCAGAATAGACTTGCTTCAAAAAGGTGATTCAACAAAATTTATAAAGTCATATAAAAGATTGTTAAAATTATGTCTTCTCTACAAAAAGACATTGTTATGTATATACAATTTTGTAATTATTAGAATTGAGATATAAGGTGTTATATCAAGTGTTGTAATAATCATAATAATTAAAAAAGAAATGACTTATTTTATGGTGTTCATATTATATCATATCTAAAACCCAAAGCCTCAAAATGAAAGTTATTTTAATATCAAGTAGAAGACCTCTAAAACTTTGTATTATGCCCCTTTTAAATTGGATTTTTAGGTAATAGATCTTTTTAGTGGAGATATTAAGTAGCATTTTTAATACATATATTAAATTTTAATAACTATTTTTTGATATTTTTTTGTTTGAGGATTAATTGTATATGAATATAAATAAATAATTATCTATAATACAATAAATATTGCTATAACTATCTAATTAATATATATATATATATATATATATATATAGTTGATTACATTTAATAAAAAAATACCAAGGTATTTAAGATTACATTTAATAACAAAATACCAAGGTATTTGTATTTTTTCAATTCAAAAAATTTTTGGTCTTAAAACTTGCATCAATTACCATAGAATAAATTAATAGGTATAAAAATAGCTTAAATTTAATAATGGGAAGAAAATAAATATATTTTATATTTAATAGAATAATTAAATTTAAAACTATAAATATAGTCAAATAAATGGATGAAGCATTGATTTATTTTATTAATTTTTAAAAATAAGTCAAATATCATTCTATATATATATAATATTATATATTAAATAAATTATTATATTTTTTTTATAAATTTAAGTAATATATATTAAATAAATACAACAAGGAAGACACAAGTAAATAGAAATTAGAAATGTTATACACAAGAGGAGTGTGGAATGAGATGCCTCTTTCTTCTAACACCCTTTATTTATAGGAGGGAGTTTACATCTATTGTAGTTGAACTTCATCTATGATCATGTTCATCCATCATTACTTCATCCAACTAAACCCTAGATTCTTCTTAACCAAACCACTATTTAAAACCCTAGGCGCCATATTAGTAACTTATCTTCACTCTTTTACTACTTTTTGAGCATTAGCAACTTACTTAAGGTAATGGTATCTTATTCTTACCTAATCAATATTTTTTTTCTAAACCATACAACAGATGAACATCATGCCTATTTTAAAAAAGTGTTATATAAAAAATTTTTATACATCTTATTTGAATCATTATTCTACTACTACAAAAAGAACAAATAGATCAAAAAAAAAAAAAAAAATGTTATATTAAGATAGAGGAAAAATAGACATGAATGGCATTATTGAATAGCTAACTCTTATAATAATAGGAACATTTAAAATTCAATGCTTAATTAATTTATTAATTATATTTTATATATTTAAAAAAATCTAAAGAATTATTTAGATATGGATAAGAATAAAAAGTAGATAAAAAAATAATTTCAGTCTACTTAAAATCCTTAAACTCACAAATCCACTTATCACATTGTGAAGCAAATTAGAATATAACGATGTTTTTAATTTTATAATGCATATATTTCTAATTAAATAAAATAAATGACTATATATCTAAATGCATTGAAGACAGTGCTTGATACAGCTTAAAAAAACAAATAAGTGCACTTAAAAGCATTAAAAAATATACCTTGATTCTAAACCATTTAAAATTAATTGCCAAATTAAATTCAAAGTCAATGCTAATTCTTGACCTGAGCTCCTTGCACAGAGAAACCCTAAAATTGAAAGAGTGTTCCCAAATTGGATAATGAAAGAATTATAAGAAGTATAAGTTTCTAAAAGAAACAAACTTAGTAAGTGGGTTCACTTCAAAGTCAACTAATAGCACAGCACAACCTACTGAAACGATTACTAAAAGTGAACCCTGAGAGAACATTCGGGAACAGGTGGGAACAGATGGGAACTCGTAGATTGCAATGTAATCAACCGAGGGGAACGCACTAGTCAATGGTCACGTCAGTTGGGGGGAAGGGGCACCACGTCGAGGGGTGTCCCATCCCACGATCACCATCCAGCGGTCGGATGAGCCCAGGGCTCACATGGTCTGGTGCGTCCTCCGGTCGCTAGTCCCGCACGCTGGTCAAAACGCCAGCAGCGGTACACAGGCTCATGTGAAGCAGCAGCCCACGCCAGCGGAGAAGGGAAACCCGTGAACAACTCGCACATCGATCTGCATGGAATTGGATTCTTCGTGGGCACGATCATCTATCTGCATTTATCGTTCAACAATCTCGGTAATTTTGCGGTTGTGGATTTTTTCTTTTAGTGGGGTTGTTGGGTTTTTTTTTTTTTTTTTTTTTTTTTTTTTTAGTTTGTCGTTTGCTTCGTTTTCACAATTCGAGGTGCATGTTTGTGCTTTGAGAGAGTGGCGGATGGGCGATGATGTGGCGCTTTGCTTCGAGGGACTGATGTAACAACAAGTGAAGGTGCGCAGCAGTGTTGGTAATTTTGAGATTCTTCACCTAGTTGCGCAATCGGGGTTCGTGGGTGGCGAGGAGAGTGTGTTTTTTTTTTTTTTTTGTTTTTGAATGAAGAAGGATACGTGGGTGCTGAAGGTGTTTGGTGTGAGATAGTGGAGGTTGGTCTAGGGTTGAGCGTGAGAGCGGAAATTGTGTGTGGCGATTTTGTTGAGTAGAGGATGGGGGGATGAGGGAATAAGGTGTGGCGTTGTAATGGGCGAGATTTTGAGTGACAGCGAGCACAGATGGTCGTGAGTGACATTTGTGGGTGACTGCGGTTAAGGTAGATCGTCGCAGATGTTTGACGGTCGAACGAGGTCATTGGTTTAAATTTGAGTTTTAATGGGCGGAGAGAACCGATGGACATTGATAAACATGCCAGCAACATTGGCCTTAGAATGCTTCAAATTTGAAAGTGACCAGGTAATGTTAAGGCGAGGATCAATGCCTCCTCAGATTCGGTGCTGACCTTTGATGTGACGCAGCTGTAGGTTTTTTGGGGCCAGATTTGTTTCGTCAATACTCTGTTTCCATCGTGGGTGCTTCTGTATTGTTTCTTTACTGCTGTGGTTTTAGTCGGATTTTTACTCCATTTTTCGCGCATTAACAGCCTTGAATCTTAGATCTGATACCTCAATTTGCTGAAATGGTGGTTGTGTGAAAATGGTGTATTCGAAATGATTTCCTATTGAATTTGTTCAGTCCATTGTTGGTAACAAAACTATGACCTTAGAGATTGATGGCTTTGAGGCCGTATTTTAACGTGTTGAACGTCATTTTGTTCCCTGTTCAGGTCGCTGAAGTTTAATGATGAGAGCTGTTTCTAGATATTCCTCGTCAGTGAACAATCCCCCTTGAATTCGAACATGAGTTTTCAGAATATGGAACGAAAAATTGAAATCCCTGATATAAGAGGAGACGATGGTGAAACGTTGGAGAAAGAGGATCCTGAAATAGCAACACTCTCTTCTAGTGAGGCTTCGGTGAATTGGGAAAATATTAGTGAGGATTGGGTTTCTCTGTTCTTAGACCCCGCTACATTTGATGAGCATGCAACACCTCTTCCATCGGATCTTGAGAGTTACTCGCGGTTCGACTCTACTTTGCGTGAATCAAATGATCGTTTTTCTCCTCAAGAGCTCCTGGCAGACTCGTTGTTACTCCACTCCATTGATGATCAGCTGTCTTCCGATTTGGTACTTCAAAGTTCCGTAAACGTTGTGGAAGATATATTTGGAAAAGATGGTTCGTCTACTAAAGGGTTGAAGCGAGCAGATCTCAAACATTCAGAAGGAGAGCCCCGTGGACAAAATTCTGCAACAGTGTCAAATTTCTCGCCTGCTCCCCAATCAAATGCAACACAGACGGCATGCGCATCCACCAGTATGGAGGTGTATGCGTCATCATCTCCTGCCAGCAGTTTGACCCAGGTAAGTGGAGATTCAAGCCCAGGGATGGAGGTTGATTTGTGGAAGAACAAAGAAGCCAACTCAGATCTATTGATCACTCTCGAACAAAGAGTAAATGGCGAGGTCTCATCCCGTTCTGAGAGCCCGACGTCTCCGTCAAGTGCCATGGGCGTGGAAAATGGGTGTCCAAATGTGAAGAAGCTTCAGAGTGAAGGGGGACGAACAGGATCTCGGGACGTTTCCAGCACAGGCTCCGCAGTTCGGACGGGGATTCCCTCAACTGCATTACAGTCAGATGCGTTCGATGTCCGACAGCTTCGAAGTATTGACAACTCTTTCAAAGTAGGTTTTCTGGGGAGGTCCGGGGACACGGAAGATAGTGTTGAGGACAGAGAGGAGTCTAATAAGCTTTTTTGCCGGGAGTATTTTCAATCAGAGTCCTTCAAGCTGCAAAACCTGGAGGTACCTGAAGACCAGCAGAGCGATCGTAGCGATGGCGAGAGAAAGGCGGATGCTGGTGTCGAGGATGATGAGAAGCGACGTGCTCGACTGATGCGGAATCGTGAGAGTGCTCAACTATCTAGGCAAAGGAAAAAGATGTACGTGGATGAGTTAGAAGGTAAACTTCGAACTATGACAGCAACTGTCGCGGAGCTCAATGCCACTATCAGTCATTTGACAGCAGAGAATGTAAATCTTCGGAGACAACTTGGTTATTACTATCCAGCTCCAGGTAACACCTCACTGTTTTTCTTATTTTTATTATTGCTTAAGCTAAGAAAGCGTTTCTTCTTGTCTGTTCACCATATGTTGAGCTTTGAATTATGTCTGCAGTTAAAGGAGTACGTGTTACGCTGTTTCACGGTCTCAATTTTTTCATGATCATAATAATAATCATTGTAATAGTATCTTTTTGGCACTCTTTAATACTCCGTCGGATTTTGTTAGGTGTTTGTCCTCCAAGACCAGGGATGCCAATGCAAGTTTTGCCTATGGGACCCTATCCTGGAATGGTCGCTGGAAGGCCAATATATTCAGGCGGGCAGATGCCACCTGTTCCGATTCCACGGATCAAAGCAAAGATTCCCGCCCGCAGTACAAAGAGGGCGAAATCAGAGGACACGAAGGAAGGCGGAGACCGAAAGCGGACGAAATTGAAAGCTGCGGGTGCTGCGTCCATGGCAGTTATGGGACTTCTTTGCGTGGCCATGCTTTTTAGCTCATTTGACCAAGGTCTTAATGGCTCTGGTGGAGTAGAGGACTATACACGAATAGGGAACGTGCGAATTGGGGGCCGTGTGCTTACGAGCTGGGATGAAGCTGTCAATCCTCTGAATAACACAGGGCTAAGTTCGTCGGATACTGAACCTGGGTGGGTGCCATTACAGGAAGGGGAGTACGGTCCTGAACGTGAGGGTGTCGCAAATATACACATGCGACTAGCTGCTGAGAAAGTACAAGACGAGGCTGTGAAGTCACAGATCTCGAAAGCTGGATTAGAGTCTTCAGCTCGACAATCAGTCGATGGAAATGAAGATCTTGGAATTTCTAAAGAGAAAGGAAGCCAGCTACCACCAGATTATTTCAGCTCTGGCAAAGTTCCATTACAGATGCGAAGAGAAATAGTTTCTACGAACACAAGTCAGTCGTATGCGGCTACAGTGTTTGTTCCTGGCGCCAACGGTCTCGTAAAGGTAGATGGAAATCTGATCATTCAAGCGGTTATGGCTGGTGATAAAGCAGCAAAGAAGCAATCCAAGAACAAGCAAATAGTTGGAGGAAAGAAGAAAGGTCCGGTATCGAAAAACCTGCCTGTCAAGGTATTGGACAATCTGGCTCCCAGAGAGACTAAAGTTGTACAGAATGCCACGACAGGACCTTTTGTGATTGCTAGGCCCCTCCCAGAGAGAGCAAAGTCCGTTTTTGGAACCAACAATCCAGTTTCACCTGTGCTTCATGCTGGAGCTTTGCAGCAATGGATGCTTGGTGGCCTTCATGGTACTAATTCTGGTTCCCTTTCTCACTTTCCCTACCTTGTGCTTTGTGTTATCGATCACATTTTGTACTTGCGTCTTAGTGTTAACAATCAAGTAGCAACTCGTGTTGCTACTTGACTTCATTGTGTGTATCTTTCGGGTCTGGATACTTGTGTGCGATGATTGCTTTTGATATTCGTTCTCTTGGGCTTTTTTAGACTCAGAGACTAATTTTATTGCAAGCGAATTGACCAAGATAATGTCACAACCACGTACTCAGCTACCTATAGATAACTCCGAAGCTGTAGCTGCCACTCAAAGAACTTACCACACTTTTACCCTTTATGATGCTGCTCCCAGAGGGCCTTTACATTCTTGGCTTTTTGCAGGCCTTTCCACAGGTGCAGTTCATGTTGTCACTTCTGCTTGTAATATGGTATATGTAATCCACACTTCACGTAATTTCCTTCTTCAGATAAACATCTGATAACTTTAAGGGGACCTAGTGGTTACATCGATATATAATTAATGTAAGTGTTATTGGAGTCTATCAACTGAAGTTTGGTCTTACTGCACTTTTTTTATATCTGAAATTTTTCAAATTATAAGTTGCGTCTACTTTGTCCACGAGGGCTTTCACTTTCATCAATATATTAGTTAAACCAATAACTTATTAGGATTCACCTGGCTGATTTATGAAGAACCCATACTTTGCGAGAGAATTAGAAGTGACAACAGGGAGAAAATGCCTTTGCTGAGCAGAAATGAAGAGAATTCCGAAGCCTCGATGTCTTTTTGGGCTACTCTGTCATCTTTGATCTATAACAAGCCCCTTCAAAAGAAATTTCATGACAAGAGTACTTGCAGTGTGCCTACAATTAGTACGTTTTGTTGGGCATTACCAGTGGGAAGCAATGCACTTGCAAAATCTGAACTGGAACAATGCCTTTCTTTTGATCGTAGACCCGATATCCTCAGTCTACTATTTGATTTGTGGTTGCTTATGTTGAGTCTTCTGTTCGTTAGCAGAGGGCCTCAGGTTACTTATGATTCTTCTCAGAACATCTCTAGATTGCAAATACTGTTGTGAGGATTTATTCGAGCATTCTCTGGGCGTATTTTTCTTTTTCTTCTTTTTTTTCCTTGTTTTATTTTTATTTTTGGGTGTCTGCTTGCCTGGACTTCTGTGACATTTTTAGGATCATGCAGTAGGTTATTAGGTTGACTATCCTTTGCGATCCTTTCCCATGTGGCTCCAACTTTATTGGGACTGGAATGTAATCGACGTGAATACGTACCCTTGTGCGTTGGAATTTGAGTCCTTGTGTCTAAGCACTTAGTACCTCAGCATTTTATCACTCTGAGACGTGTTTTTATCTGGCAGGACCTGTACTGAACACAGGCATGTGCACGGAGCTCTTCCAGTTTGACACTGCGGCAGCCACCACTTCACCAGAGCAGGGCTCCACTCCAGAACCCAAGAACATGGCAGAATCAGTTGCAGCCAGAGCAGCACAGGGTAGTCCTCACAACATCACTTCAACACTCTCAGTCCCTGATGCTCCTCGTAGCCGCCGGGACCCATTTGCAGTTCCCCTCCCCCCTGTGAAACCAAAGTCTGCAGCTGAAGGCGATGGGGTTCGCAATGATACAGATCCAAGGGTAAAGAATATAGGTAGAGACCACATGCACGGAAGGAATCTGCGCGATGAAGTGTCCAGCATGGTGGTATCAGTTATGGCAGGACCCGAGGAGTATGGCGACAGCAGAAAGCAAACCAAAGGGTTGTCTCGGATTTTTGTAGTGATTCTTGTCCAGAATCAGAAATATGTCACGTACTCGTGCATGCTTCCTTCTGGTGGACCTCAAGGCCATGTCGTTGCGGCGTGACTCGTGAATAGTGTTCTTCAGTGGACAGGTAATCCTCTCCTCTTCCAATCTCTACCAGATGATGTGCTTTTGGTCCATTATCAACAGAGAATTGGGTTTTGTTCTGCTTGGTCTTTCTCTATTGATCTACTGGAGGACCTTTTCTTTGTGAGATATTGTAACCAACCTGAACAGCGGATTCGAGCCACTGAAAATAAGCATGTGTCTGTCTTACTACAGCACCATCCTGTACCTGGAAGTCTAGAAGTTCAAACTGTATTCAGTTTCCGGAATTTACAGTCAAGTATATTTTCTGAGTCAATGCGACGTGATGTTGCTGTATTTAGTTGATCTACTTCCTCTATTTCTTGTAGCTAAATCAATCAATTGCTATTTATTTCGGTTATCCTTTCATTAATGTAATCTTTTTCCCTGACGGGGCTTTTTTGCTTGCAGGATGGTTGCATTTGTTTCAACCTTTTTATTTTATTTATTTATTTATTTTTTCTTTCTTTCTGTGCAGATGGCCCCCTGAACTCCAAGCATTACTTTTGTGCATATGTACAGTAAATTCTACTAGATTTCATATTTAGTTCCCCTGCATTGGATGCGTTTTATTGAGATTAGGACATGTTACGGCTCAGAACTTCGACAGATTTAGAACATTTAAGATCTGACTAGCTTGCCCAGGTCTGTATTTTGGGTGTTCTCGAGATGTGCACCGATTTGATTCAGTGACCGATGAGACGAAGACAATATCTTGAGCACATTGCTACGAATTTAATTTACTTCGCTTTTCAAGGGATAGGCTTCTTCCCATTTCACGCACAATGGCGTGCGTTCAAGTGTACCTCAAGTGAATTGTATTCTTTGATACAGCGTTTAAAACTTTTTCTACCTGTTTACACACTTCTGGAGAATGCTTAGTTACTTGGTTCAGGTTTTAGGGGAATGAAACTCATGAGCATGATGAAACTTCGCTAATGGGTGCATTAGACCAGATATCAAACAATACAACTCCTCTCATTAGCATCACGGCTACAAACTAGACAATCTCTGCTGTATGGAGAAAGAAAGAGTTCGCCGGCCATTTGGTGACAACAGAGATAGAAATTCTTGAGGGTTTTCGAGGACGAGGATGCCAACTGGCTACTTCTTGTCTCTAGGTATTAAACGTTGAAATCAACTCCAAATGTATTTACTTCGACGCCTAACACCGTGAACGAAACTTCGCTTTCACTTCGTTCGCAGTTCTTCAGATTCGTCATAGGAGGCCTAATGTCAACGAGCAATTAGTACTTACAGAATAGTTCCTAGCTCTTCAGAATAGAAATAATCGATCAACTGGACTCGCAAATCAAAATATTTTGTCCGTCATTTTCCAGTTCACCTGAGCGAAGAATCTGCAACTGAGAAGATGGTTGGCAATGCAGTTGGCTGCAACGGCATTCCCCTATCAGTAATGGTATTTCTAGGTACTAATCTCGGTTTATGGCTAATTAAGATGCTCAACTGCGGCATACTAGATGTGATGATCACAGAGAACTGCAGGCGTGGTGCGCATGACTGAAGCCCAACACAAGCAAAAGCACCACGGGCATCTGCTCCAACCTAACGTTTCTAGAAAGCGAGAGTACTTTCCACGTTCCTTCACAAAAACCACTCATAACCAACTCTACTCCAGTTGGAACTTAGATCGAGTCCTCTTCTTTCTACAGCCCTGTCCAGATTCCCACATAACAAAACTGGTTTATTAAGAAATACATTTTTGCCGTAGAAAATTGGATCACATCGTGGCATTTATGTATCCCTTAAGTTATTAAGTGCTTAAAAATCACATAAAATATGAATTTATGAAAATGCAAGAGAAGGTACTGGTTAATAAATTAAAAGGCATTGAGCACATTCAGAAGTTTTAACTTAAGAAAATTGACCCTCTAGGAATTAGAACTTACAAATGTCAAATAGTGCGCAGTAGCCAAGCCCGCGCACACAAGGAAGGCATATTGGAACACATTATACCTGCAAGATAATAATCATTTATCAGATCATCTGGTAAAAACGGTGATTAATATGAAAGTAAGGATGAACATCAGTCAAATGAACACTTCATCTCTCCATAGGTAAATAACCACAGAAAGTCGCCCAGACATACTCGAACAGATATTTGATGCCCCTCAAGCTTTCCAGTGTATGACCAAAAATTTCTTGGACAACGGTCGCTTGAGCATACACTGCGAAGGATTTTGCGCAAAATTGTATTACACTGTAAAAGGTCGCCACAATTTAGTAAGTAGATACAAACAATCATGTAAGTCATAGTCACTACATGAAACAAATGTAATTTATCTTATGAGTAACAAAGTTAAAGGTCTCGCGTTGTAAAGACCCTTTGAAGGACTACTCCTGCCCTTCTACGTATACTGAAGATGAGATTAAAAATAAGAAATCATACTATGCAAACACAACTATCAGCTAAAGAAACTTTGTAATCTTAAAACCATGGATGATTGTGTGAAGAGACAACCAGCCTGATAAATTTTTGGACAAAGAGATACCTAATGGAGCAGATCAGAACCAATTCCACATTGAACAGAAACGAACTCATGTATGTGCCATTCAATCTGTGCCCACCAACATAAAAGTCAATGATCGTAGAAGACAACGTTGTATGCAAAAGCTCCTGCCAGAGTAGAAATTGTTGTAATACTGAGTTCATCACGAAACTTACTTCATTGGATGAATTGCTACGAACAGTATGTTCAGGCTTAGATGCATCTGTCCTGAGATCACTGCAATGAGAAGGTAACAGCAGAAGAATGCAAACGCCACCGTACCCAGGAGCCCTGTATCATTCAGAGTACGAAGAACTAAATTCATCTCACAAACTGTGTGTAAAAGAATCAAACGTATAATCATCCAGGATGAATGTGTAACTACTCTATTTCGATGGACATCGTGATGAAAACAGCACAGAGAAGTTTAACTCACTAACTAAACTGGACTGAACGGCACAGTAAAAGAAGATGAGAAACTGACCCCAAAAATTGTCCAGTCGAATAAAGATCCAATTGAGGAAAGGAGTCAGGGGAGGAGTGATCAGCATATATATAATGATGTGAACCACCCATACTACTGAAACCAGCAAACTGCAGGGGGTCAACATATGCAGACATGATCATTACAAGATTATCCTTAAGTGGGGACGTCTTGCAATCATTAAGAAAAGCTCAAGCATTACGTTGTCAAAAACACTACTCCTAAATAGCCTGAATTCACTAATCCCTTGAAAATAATATGATTAAAGAAGGACCAGTTGCCTGTACTAACTTTCAGGGAAAGAGCAGGAGGAACTGAGCTGCGAATACAAAAGACAGTACACTAATTGAAGCATCAATTTAGTCACAGAACTAACGTCCCAAACATGTGTCGTGTAACTGTTAAACAAAATGCTTACCCAATGATTCCAAACACTAGTCCTCCCAAGTATCCCAAGACCGTAAGAGCCCATGATGTATCAGCCTGCTCAACATGTTGCATGGTTAGCACTGCATAGTTTCTAATTTTGTCAATAAAAATCACGAACCAGTCATGCACACGGTAATTTCGGCAACGCCCTATGCAGCGGGCCATCAGTCCTGACATTATGTAAAGTTGACCAATTCTGAACCACGTGCTCTGAAAATCTACATAATACTTTAAATTCACAGAAACGATCAAGATTGTTAAATTTCACTGTGAGAGTGACAAGGAAATATCACGGTTTGGACAACAATGGAAATATTACAGTTATACTGTATATGTATCAGCAGCTAGTACCTTTTCCCCTTGTGGATAAACCTCTTCTAAAGCTCGTTCATCCTCTTCTAGATACATAAGTTCCTGCACGTCAGTACTCTGGTTTTTTAGACAGTTCGAAGGTGCCCTCCAGTAAAACAAATTGATGAAGATGTTGCATGGAACATGTCTTATTCGTTGCAGATTTCATAGGAGTTAGTCTAGCTTGTATACAGGACGATAAAGCAAGACAAGTTTTTACTGGCAGCAAACTTTTTTTTAAGAAAGAGGAGGGCAGAAGATTTATGACGAATCTTCATGCAGGTATTAAGCTCCATTAATGCCTTCAATTTAAAATGATTACAAAGATCTATAAAACACCTTGTACACACCGACCTTCTGAACTTTGTGAACATTTGTCTTCCACTTCCGACTTTTACTGCCAGATCTCTGTTCCCGCTGCAAAGCTAGTGCTGCTTCCTTTATCTGTTTTGCACGGTTACCTAGCTCAGTCGCCTCCTGCATATATCAGATGATTCCACTTGTTTCAGCAATTCAAAAATTAGAGTAAATGTTATTATGAGCATGAAGCTGTTGATAGATTGGTCTAAAGCCCAGTAAATATTTGTGCACATTACCATAACCATGCGCAAACCAATATTATGTATTGTAGTTCAAAGTCATCAAAACCTGAATATGTACCTTAATGTACTGAGAGCGAGTGATAATGGTTTTCGGACGATGCACGTATGCAAAGATAAGACTAAGAGGGAGGCTAGCAATGCCTACACCTCCAAATATCTGCGTGATAATTGACACAATTAGTTGTCACAACTGCAAAGGACTCAGTAATATTCACAATAAATACAATTGGGTGTGAGAATTCGCAATCTCAGAGCGAATAACAGGTGATGGCACGTACCGAAAAAAGAATTGATCCAACAATGGTGAGGATTGCAATAACATACTCAGGAAACGATGTGCGCATAGTCCATGTGGTGGCTGACTCTGGATCTGCCAATTCTGCAGAACACTGTGCCAACGTCCTCCTCAGCATTGTGACTCAAGCACACTTGCTAATTCACTCTTTTTCAAAATCATTGGTTAGACCTGAGAGTAAGTTTTATACTTTCAATATTTTTTCATTTATTTATTTATCATCAACGCTCAAAAAGCTTCCAGTGCTTGGAATAAGGACTTCAGAGACTCTGAAATGCAATTAGTATGATCTGCGCACAATCTACGAGTACCTTAACACGTCATGAACACTTAAAGTTGGTAAAACTACTACTGGTACCATGAGGGTTCTCCACAGGTGCAGCAACTGTTCTGCACTACTCATGAAATAGGCAACCTGCATGAATTAGCTCGGGAAGAAGCAGAAGTACCGAAACTCGAGTAGCAGTTCCCCCCTGATTGGTAGCCAGGCACGGACTCATTGAAGTTACCAAAGAAAAATCAGTAGTGTAGGCTTGAGCTGACGACTCCAACCGTTGCACGCCAAAATCTACCTTACCTACCAGAACTGCAAATACTCGTATCCGCATCAGAAGAATTCCATATTGATACGAGATCACAATTACGACACAGCCTTTACACCACTCCTAAGGAATTCAGAAAGTTATAAATGTTGACTCAAGGGAGAAAATCAATGGGGTCATAAAATAATCATATTATTGTGATCTTCGAAATCCATTGCACTCCAACTAAGCTTTCAATGGATCTTCTTTTGACAGGATTTAAATTTTTCTTGCCAGACACGGAAAATCTTCAGTGCAGACAAAAATGAAGGTGAAATGCCTAAAGAAGATTCTCTTCTTATTAGTTATAGAATTACAAAAGAAAATGTAAGGAATTTTCTTATCAAGGCATGAAATGTAAGGAGCCTACACTGGGAGTCGATTGTTACCGAAGGCAACGCCAAACAAAATTCCGAGGATTATCGCTGTCGCCACCACCCATGATATAGCACTGCAAGCTCGTCGCAACCATGATCTGATCCATTCAAAACAAAATCAATTTCGGGTAAAGAAAAGTAAGGTAAATAAAATTATTTTCAAAATCAAATATAGCCGTTACGGAAGTTGAATGCATCGCAGGAACTATTTTCCTTGCGCTCTTTAGAGTGAGTCATAAACCATCAAGTAGCAGCACTTCATAATCATTATAGCGAAATTTGAGCTCAAATATTCAATCTAATGTAGAAAGGGAAGCTCTCTAATGAAAGTTTAGATTCATGCAGAGTAGGAGACGCAAACTAAGGCATTCTCTGAGCTTTGTGAATGAAACTATATTAGAATTTGAAGTGAGGCGTAATTGTATCCAACCAATCATCGAGGTATGCGACCGATAGAAAGTCCCAGACTACTAGCAAGTATCCAAGAAATGCAGGCACGAACGCTCCCCGAAGACATAGAGCTAAATCAACGAATTATGCTGATTAGAAAAATATTTCTTCTTAATGAGCCGACGCATGATGCAACTATTTTTCAGGACCATGAGGAAAAAATATCCCGCCCTCTGAATCTGCTTTCGCAACGGCATTGCACACGGCTAAAGACGTTGTTAATCCACATTCTTGAATTTTCCTTCAAGAACCTCAAAAGTCTCATTGCCAGAGTAAGAAGAACTCACTTCTCCTGGTCTGCTTCGTAATAGAAAATCGAAAACGGGACGACGAAAAACACCAGAACAGCATCAACAATATACACGGAATACCAAAGCTCCCGCATGGGCAACGTGTAGTTACAAGCATCAGTGTAAACAGAATGCTTGCAAGCATGCCGGTTCGCAATGTCAGCAGGGAGCATGAGAATCGACAACTCCGCCACAGAGAGCCCGACGATCACCACGACCTTCGGAAACCAGGCCTGGTTCTTGTCATCCGGATGTTGATAGTTGATGAGCAAGTACAAGTTGAATGCCAACACCATAAGAGTCACTACTATCACTATCAACAGCAACACCACATTATAGTCCCCCATATCCACCGAAAACAAACTCCCTCTACAATACAAAACAAAACAAAAAAACAAACAAACAAGCGCGTCTCCTCTCACTGCCAACCCGATCTCTCCCTCTCTAAGAAACAATCATCGTCCTGTTTCACTTCATCTGCCATCACTCCCTTCAATCAAACGCTCCTCGTAGCTGCTTTTGCATCATCAAAGCCATCGCTAACAACAATTGCTCCGGTTTGCCAAACCCCTCCCCCCCCCCGTTCTATGCTTCAGGAAAAAAACTCTCTCCTACAAGTCATTGCTGTCAATCTGGCTACGATTGACTCCCCGAGATCAAGAGCACCGCTCCGGCACACAGTCCGATTTGTATCCGAGGAAAACCTTACGATGACATCAGAGCTACGGCGTTTTTGCTGCATTCCAGTGCTGCATTGCAGCCCAAGCTCGCTGGCTGCCTCCTAGTGCCTGCTCAATCAAGTCCCATGGCCACTATCGTGGATATTGCTGATATCGAACGTAGACTTTCCCTGGGATGCGATCTAGAATGTCGTTTTCCTAGATTTGTGACGCTGCTGTGAGAGTTTGGGTTTCAGAATTCAAATTAGTCGGCTCGTTTATGAGTTGGTCACTGAGCGTGGCCACGTGGCGGGTTTTGATTTGGAGTGGTTTTGGGTACGTTTTATGGGTCGGTTACGGGTCCTCCTCGGCCATGCGACCCTTTGTTTGTCACCATTCTCTGTTTGTAATTATGTTTTTCCTTCATTAGGTGTTCTATTCTATTTGATTTTTGTTGTTAAGCTGGTTAAAGCTTGTACAAATTCACTCACTTTTTAAGTTTTTTTTTTACTTGTAATTTATTTATGATAAAAATTGTCAAGTTCATTGTGAATATTTTAAGAATCTACACCATTGGTACAAAAAATATTAATTTAATTAAAAAAATAAAAATAAAAAGATTAGTGGAGCTATAAACATAAAAAATAAAAATAAAAAATAAAGTAAAATAAAAATCGATACCAACGTAAATTCATAAAATTCATTGCGTATTTCCAGTGGCACAAGAGAATAACTCTGAAACCTATTATGAAGGATTTATTCAACAATTTGTTATAGATTTTTCATAGAGTCTTTGGTGGTTGATTTTTTTATTTAATTTTCTTTCTATAATTATTTTTATTTGGGTTTTGGATATTTTTGCAAAAGAATTGTTTCTTGAATGTATTGAAAATTTCCAAAAAAATCTTTATGACTCCATGTAAATATAATATTTATGAACATCAAATTTTACACATATATATATATATATATATATATACATATATATATCGAATACATGGCAATGTAAAGAGCATATTATAAAGTAAGACAGAATAACTATTTCTATAAAAAATTGAAAATTGAAAATAAACTTATAATTACATAAAACTTTATGCACATAAGTTTCAATCGGGAATTTTTTTCACATTAAAAAGCAAGAAAATTTATTTATTTTCATTAAAATTATTCACGATGACATGCTGTTTGACTTATCATAAGTGAATATTATGTATTGGTTCTTCATACAAAAACAATATGTTCTGGGTACTTTTTAAATGTAATATTATACCAATTTCATATTTTACAATTGTGTATTTGATGAAGAACTTTAAAAGCAAGAATTTTTTTAGAATGTTTCTAGTAAAGTAATATTTCGGAAAATATTTACAAGTGCATTGATAATTTGGAAGAATTTTTCTTTAGTAATCTTTTAATTCTCCTGCATGCCATTCTTTTTTAGTTTTTAAGCCTTTATTTCTTATTATTTTATTTATTTATTTATTTATTTTTGTAATTATGCAAAATTGTGATTCCGATCTACTACAAATCGAAGCCAATTTTATGTAGCAATATTAATTATGAAAATCCAATGTATTTACTTTTGACTATGTGGCTTGGATATCTTTATTAATCTTTTACATTAATTAAAGAAACCATTATAACCTAAGAATGTAATAATCATAACTAATAGTGAGAAGACCAATGCATTAATTTAAAATGTTTATTTGGGAGTTTAAATCAATTAGTATATGCACTAAAGTTATGATGTTTGCTAAATCTAAATAAAACACAATAACATCTAATTATTACTATTATAGATAATGTGTCTATCTAATAATTATCTTGTAGAAACTTTCTCTCTATCTGTGAAAACCTCCATGTAAATTAAATTTTCTAACAATAAATCCAAGGTTGTAACTTCATTTAGTATTAAGATTTTGTTGCAATTTTGCATGTTATTTCTTTTTTCTTACTATTGTTACTTGTGGATATATATTCTTGTCCTAAAAAATTCATCCCTTGTATACACCAACATTTGTTTTTTATTTGCATTTTAACATCTTATGTAATAGTCTTATTATTATTTTATTTTATTCTTATTCTTATACATGCAAACTTGTGACTATTTGTTGTTAAATAATAGATGCTAATTGAAAAAACATTAGAATAAATAGTTGTGACTGCAATGGAATCAAACAAAACTCAAAGCTAAGAAACTCATTACAATACAATAATATAGATTTTGAATGCAACACCATTCAATAAATTGGACTAAATAGTGTCTCCATTTAAGAATCTTTAATTAAGATTTGCATTAGATAGGATTGTTTTTAGGTCCTACATTTATTCATCAAGAATATATGATGAATATTTGTTTCAATCCAAAATATAAATTGTAAAAAATCTAAAAAATTGTAAAATTAATTTTTAATCAATCTAAAGCATTGAAAGTACCTTAACTTGTGCCAATAATAATAAAAATGTACACAAAAATACAACAGCATTGAAAACATCACATACACATATTCAATTATTTTTAATTATTTTACAAACACTCGAGGCACCACAAATCAAACGGTCAAACACATCATTTCAATTTTTTGGTAGAGTTAGGCAACAAGAACAAGTGGATCGTAATTCAAGCTTGCCACGTCTCAAAACAATGTACCGACACCGAAGCTCATATTTTCCAAAACAAGGTGGTTCTGACCCACCTTGTCACGCATCCCCAGTACCGAAGGCCTTACCGGGTCGGAAGAAGCACCCCGACTTCGCATCCTCGCAGATCACCAAACTCGGATTTTGCATGCCATATTCTCATCTCATACTATCCGAAGAATATTCTCATTACAAAATCGAATCCTCGTTTTAAAAGCGAGGAGAAAACTATGGCTTTCTTGAGGTGGAAAGCGAACGTTTTCTCATTGTTTCCGAACACTCCTGCTTCGCAACTGCACCTGAACCCGCTGCATTTTGCACACTATGATGGTGCCATGGATAGATTTGGGCCATTTTCGCTGAGTTCATCTTAGTTTTGTGTACTCCAGATAACGTTTTGGAAACCAGTGTCGTGCTGTAATGGGCTTTCGGTGCAGTTGGGGATGATTGGGTTGTAGCGGTCTTGGTGAGCTGGTTAATGGGCCTTTTTGCCCTCGCAAGTACGCTAGGTGATTGATTTTGTGGATGGGTTTTGTGGGTGTAATGAGGTGACTTCGTACCTTTTTTTCTTTTTTTTTTTTTTTTTCCTTTTTTTTTAATACTTGTGTGGGGGGGGGGTTTGCTTTGGTCAATGTCTGGAGGAGGCTTTCAATTGAAGGACTTTTGGGTACATGGCAGTGGTTGCTTTCTTGATTTAGCGTGTTGGAACGGGCGTGTTGGATTAGTGTGAGCGTAGTTTTATGTGATTGTGAGGAGGATTTTAATGCTAGGGTTGATGGTTCAACGTTGGCTTGCTCTGACTTGGAGCATCAGTTGGTGTGGGGGAAGAGTTAGGGTTTTATTGGAGTGAATTTGTCACTCATGCAAGTTCTTGTGAAACAATTCTGATGTGGAGTTGTGGATCACTCTTTCATTCTTTGACTCGTCTTTTTGGACAACGTTGATTGTGGCTGCTCCAAATACAGGGTCATGCAGAGTGCGAGGTATTATCGTTACTAGGAGCATCAGTCGGAAGAAGTTTCTAGGTTAAGTCTCAATTTACAACCTGTTCAGAGTCTTGTGAAGTCTAAATTTAGCCAACGTCTCGGTGCCTATAATCTACAAATCGAGCTTCAGATTGGTGAGCGAACTATCAAGCATTTAAAATTGAAAATCTCTTACGTTCACGCTTGCTTCTGGTTCGCTCGCTAGAAGTAGCTTTTCTTGAGTGACTCGTTGTGAACCAGGTTGTCTCCTTGAACGCATTTTACATTTTGCTATTCCTTGGCATTTCAGGATAGGGTAAGATACTGAAGTCGTTCACATTTGTGTTCGTTGTTGGATTCAAAAATCATCAATAGAAACGCCGACATTTTCAGTTTGTGCAAATCGTGTTTTAATGTCACTACGAAATTTGGTTATTTAAGTTTGCTCTTGATGGTGTGTTCCTCTGAGACACCACAACGTTGATTATAGTCGTCAGAGCATGGCGACAGAGGTTAGAGTTAACTAGCGTGATAAAAATGAGTGATCAGTTGTTCGTCATTGCAGAATCAACCCATTTCCCTTCTCTCTTAGTGTTCACAGCGCCTCTTCGAAGGAAGTGAGCATTTTGTAGCTTTCTATGGGGGCGATGGAGGTGACTGGAGAAGAAAAAGATGTGCAGAAAGGAGGCAGCATGCCTCGAGCACCGTCCGTAGATGACCTTTTTGTGCCAATGGGAAGATTGGATATGCACTCTTCGGGGATGGGGGCTGACAATGAAGAAGTGAAGGAAGGAGGGAATACGTCAGCCTCTAATGTGTGTGGATCTTCAAGCTTAGTTCACAGTGCAACAGCCGAGAAAACTCCATCTGCATCTGACGGTGAGTATGTGGTATTGAGCTCTAGGTTCTTAGTCCGGGTTTCATTGCGTGCAGTGTACATTTTGATTCGTTGGGAGATTTGGCAATTTCACGATTTTTTCGGGAGTATGGAAAGTATCTTTTAAACCAATACAATAGACGGAACTCAGTAGAACCTTCGTTGCTCACTCTCCGAATCAAGTCAGAGTCTTGTTTCCTTTGGAGTGTTGAGTTAATGTAAATTAATATGTCCATTAGGCTTCTGGTTTCTACGCTTGGACTCTGTTTTCTATTCGTCCGAAAGTAGGTTTTGGTCATCGGCATAACTAATGCGAAGGCGAAATGCTTTCTCTAGGTACTGGGATCGTAAATTTGTTGTCTACCGACAACGTCCTCAGTGATGTGCGTGTTTGGAAAACATTCATCTATATTTAGGTGATGAACGTTGAAACATTGACCTTGTGCCAAACCAATGCTTATGTAATTTTTATGCAGAGAGATTTAAAGGCTTTTCAGAAGGTAATTGGCAACTGGCTACTGAAAGATACTGGGTTGTGCAGGAGCACGCTTGGGCCTGAACTTGAATCGAAGTGAGTTGTCGGGTTTATCGAGAGATTCTTGTGGAGAAATTTCTGAACAGGTGCATGATAAGGGGGGCGAAACGCATTCCAGTCCGAGAAACAAGAAACCTGAAGGTCAGAGCAATCATACATCTGATGACGATCAGCCTGTTATCGACGAGAGGAGGCAGAAACGGATGATTTCGAACAGGGAATCGGCTCGACGATCACGGCTCCGCAAACAACAGCATCTTGATGAATTGCGGTCACAGATCTCTCACCTCCGAGCCGAGAACGTCCACTTGCTAAATCGCTACAGTCTTGCATCACAGCAATACGCTCAATTGAATGAAGAAAACTCTGTGCTGAGGTCAAATGCTGTCGACTTGAGGCATCAGCTGCAAACGCTGCATCCTGGCACATCTGGGCATCAGATGATGACCTTGGAACCACGTGATCTCAGTTCAGTGCAACCCCTTCCCTTGAACTTAAGCTTGTGCTCAGGTCCTATTGAAGATCCCAATTGGGGGAAGTATTGATCTGTTAGCCCCTTGTTTGAATTGTGTGCAACATGTTTTTTTGGTTATTTGGGCTTATATGGAGTGCGAACGGCGGAATCGATTTTTATTCAGAAGACGGTTATATCGGCTTACATTTGGGATGGCTTTTTTAATGATGCGCATGTAATATCACGACCAGCTCCATGAGCTACGTAAAGGGCGTTTAATCATCATGAGCAATGGTTTTTTCATCATACATCTCTTTTTATGAACGATTGTTAGTTATTTCTTTCTTTGGAGACATGTGCTGTAATGACACATACAACTCAAACATGCTGGATGTTTATTTTCTGATTACTTACAGTCTTGCTGTTCGTGGGCTTGGATGAGAACACACTAATTCGCACGATTGCAGTACATGTCAATCTGGTTTGTCCCCACTCTTCATCGTATAGGTGCGCGGAAAGATTTTTGGGAAAGCATTATTGGAGGCCCCCAAAGCGATATGGTGTTATTTTGCTGCAATCGAAAATATCGGATGACATCCAGATAGTACAAAACAAGGATGCCCATATTTATCACATGCTTCCAGTTGAGCACCATACATCTGCGTAACATCAACCTTTTATCGGTGTCGTATGGTGTTCAGCCCTGTGTTCTTCTTTGGTCGTATACCGCTTAACTGCTTTGAATTTTTTAACTTTGTACTAAACTGAAATAAGTTCAGTTTGCAGTTCTCATCTATATGATGTAGGGATCTTTCAGGAAAGTGGAGTAATGTACAGATGGGAGGAGTTTATAGAAGAGTTCCAATTAAACAAGAGATTTAGGTAGTCTAGTTCAAGTATCTAGAGTCATTGCATCTGTTGCACCTGCCAAATCAAGATTTCGGATTTATTCATGTGAAGACCTTAAGCTATGCAACTGCATATTCCTGCTAAACGGGCTCTTCACATTTGTCAACTGCCCCTATGACTTGTTGCAGTGGTCGACTTCAGTGGCATCTCAAGCCAGTTTTGACAATTATGGTTATTACTGGTAATCAATACTAAGGTTCAAGAAATAACAACACATACAAGTTGATTGATTATGAAGCTAGCTTTACATGCTTCCAGTATCTTTACTCCTTCAGTCATGCTAAAACTTAAGCAATGAGATCGACAAACATAAACCCTAAGTTCAGGTTAAAAGTCCTTATAAATTTGCTATGGGGTCATGGTTAGACTGGTGCTTTGTATGAAGCCAATGATGGACTGTCCACGAAATCGAATTGTGACCCAATATTGATGCGACTCCCTGCAACTTCATGACTTGGCACAGCTGCAGCAATCTCCTCAACCTCTTCTGGAGTAAGATTGATAAATACACTGCCGATGTTCTCCTTCAGGTTGGGAATCTTAGTAGTACCTGAAATGCTAGCAAGCTGCTTAGTCTTTACCAATCAACAAGAACTGTAAATTGGTTAACGCTTCTTTCAGTTGATGGCAGATTTTCCTCCACACTAAAAACGCAATCCGAAACAACGAGCATGACCAAGATGTTATTGAAGATCTTATATTGAGCATACCAAGTGGTTGTGGATGAATTTGAGCATTAAAATTAGGGGGAATATCGAAAATACCCCTGTATTCTGGGAAATATAAAAAGAATACTCCTATTGCCCTGCATGAACATGGCATCGGAACCCGACTTCATCCGCTTTTGCTCCCCATCTAACCCGTACACTCCATCTCCCCTACGGTGTGGTTCTTAATCTAGCCTCTTGACATTAGATAGGCTCTTTGTAAGTCAAGTGGTTATACCCACATCCGGACACAGGCTACATTTGAGAGCACGCTTTTCTAGACCAAAATTTTCGACTTGAAGCTCATCATATCGACCAACGACCGAACCGGTTCAACAGAGTTTGAGGTGGGCAGCACTGATCAGTGCAGAGGGGTATTCGTGATATTTCCAGGATACAGAGGTATTTTTGATATCATGGAAGAACACAGGGGTATTTTCGATATTTCCCCTTAAAGTTAATGCGTAACATTTACAACAAGTACCAGCCAATTAATGATAGTTAAAGAAAGTCACTACGCGGTAAAATCTAGAGTAAGGTCAAGGTTGGAGGTGAACCTGGTATAGGTACGACGTCATCCCCTTGATGCAATAGCCAAGCAAGAGCAATTTGTCCAGGTGTGCAATTGTGCTTCTTTCCCAACAATGCCACTCGATCAAATAAAGCCTTGTTTTTCTCCAAATTCTCACCCTGAAACCGTGGATGCCGCACCTGATCAGGAGCCAACATTCACATTTACCACTATAAGAGCAAGTCAATCTGTGCTTTCAAAATCAAGGTAAAAATGAAAGAATAAAGGCCTTATTAATAGCAGGTTGTGAAGAATTGAAGACTTACGAATCGATAGTCTTGCTCTTCCAGTTTCTCAACGACGGCTTTCCCAGAGAAGAATCCTCGCCCAAGAGGGCTATAGGGCACTATTCCAATTCCAAGCTCCCTGCAGAAGTGGGGTTTTATTATCCACTCAGTGAATCTGTAGACTTTAACTAGCAGTGTGAAGATTTGATGTAGTCCTTGTCATTTCATTATTACTCGGTGGATATTACGCAAAATCTCCAGATATATAATAACCCTAGCCTGCCTTTTATCAAAAATGTCATCACGTATTCTACACATCAGAGATAATGTGGATTAAAAGCTACCTATTAATCCAAGATGACTGAAAACCACAAATTACAATTACCTGCAGACGGGAACAATTTCGTCCTCAATGTCACGAGACCATAAAGACCACTCCACCTGAACAGCGGTTATAGGATGAACCTTATGTGCACGTCTAATTGTATCGACATTGGCATCTGACAGACCTAGATATTTTACTTTCCCTTCTTCAACTAGTTTCTTCATCTCTCCGACCTGCCGAACACACAAAGTAGAATGTCAAGGCACTACAACAGCAAGAGAAATGCGCGTGCAAGACACCAAATGTGTTACCTTAGTGACAAATTAAAAGACAAGAAGGTAAAACAAGAGAGTATTATCCATACATGATTTGCCTTGATTAAGAAATGTCAGTCTGTAGGAGATGACCACCTCTTTCATCATAAAGCTCATAAACAAGAACTTCGATCGTTATTGGAGTGTAATGAATGTAGCTTGCTAGCATACCGTAATTTCAATGGGCACCCTTGGATCAACTCGGTGCTGGAAATACAAATCAATGTTGTCCACGCCTAGACGCTCTAAACTAGCTTCACAAGATTCGCGCACATACTCTGGCGTGCCATCAATGACAACCTGTCCGGCTGCGTTGAATTTGACCCCAAACTTAGTCGACACTTGCATTTTCTCCCGTGGCAAATTCTTCAATGCCTGAGGTACTAAGCAAATAAATCATGCTCTCAAACATAGTGTAGAGCTAAAGTAAAACTTATGGTCGGAAAAAACTTCATGAGAAAGAAGTCCAGCGGAATTTGAAAGCATGGAGAAGCCGTTCTCTGCTACGACGTTTCTACTGAAGAGTTTAAGACATCGCAACCTATCAAATCATATAAGTTTCAAGGCATGTTGAGAGAAAAACTGTGAGAATGATGGCGAGACATACCACACCAAGAAGCTTCTCGTTGCTATGCTTCGTACCATAGAAATCGCTGGTGTCGAAGAATGTTACTCCGTTGTCGACGGCAAGGTTTAAAACATCCAGAGCATCATTTAGCTCAACAGGTCTCTCGTGTGATGATGACAAGCTCCTGCATCCGAGCCCCAGCGCAGACACCTACAATTCATCCAACACACATTTCCGTTTCACGATGATGAAAATATCAACGCCGTTTCGTGATTATTAGTCAGGCATGCAGATATGTTAGCAATTAACATCCATTCGTATGTCTCGATTGCAGCTTCTCTCGTGCTTAATGCGTTGCTCTAATTTCACTACAGAGACTGTAAGCACCCATATCTGTCCCATGAAAACTACAAATTCAGTACTTACCTCCAAACCCTGGGAGCCAAGCTTGCGTCGTGGCACGAGATAGGGGCCTGTCATACTTCCACCGGGTGACAAGACGATTGAAAATTGAAAGTACCTCGCCTACAGATATGAGAAGATTACTCGCTTTCAAACCCTTAGAATCCTGAGCCGATCACCCGCAACTAGATCAGGTGAACACTCCCAAGACTGACAGTACAAAACGTTTCACCAATTTCAAGTTACAAACACATCAACCAGTCTGATTCCTATCCCACCGCAAGCAGAAATCAAGAAGCACAGAATCTCTAACTACTTCTTCACATTTTCTCGACAGCATGCGAGTAATATTCACACAGCAATCCAAACCGGAGGAGATAAATAAATAAATAAATCTAAAATGCGAAAAGCTCAAATTACAACATACAAAACCAAACCCACCGCAATTCCAAAGCAGAGACCAGCTTCCCTAATATTAAAACAGAAAGTAAAATGTAAACAATCCTCGATTTTAGAAGTAGATTACAGCATCAAACGGTGGAGTAATCAAAGAATGAGGTTCTTCGCTCATGCACTACCATGACAGGCCACAATGTTGATAAGATTCGCACCAATAATTCAACAAAACTTCCCGGCGGCCCGGATCAATTTGCAACAACGCCTACCACCGGAAGGATTTGCGCCTCTCTGTAGAAAGCTATTGCTTTGAGACTGGAGGTAACTGATAGTTCATTCAACAAGGAAACAGTACAAGATAATGTAGCAGCGCAGGTGATTGCAAGGACGATGAACGAAAGAAGAAACTACGAATGAAACGCAAAACAAGAGCCTCTACCAACACCCCTCTTGCCCGCCGCAGTGACGAGTTTCAAATCTCGGAGCGTTCACATAGATGGAACAAGGAGTGCCAGAGTACATTGGTGAGAGTGCTAGAGCGAATGCAAATAGCCAAAGAAATCTAAAGCAATAACTCGCTAACCTAATGAGGTTATGTGTGATTGTTCAACAGCTACAATTATTGTTGTTGGCACTGATGGCGATATTCAGGAGTGCACCGCACATATTGATCGCACTGGTTCAATTTGTGAAACCTCGAATCTTCAAGGATAGTAAACTAGTGCAGCAGTAGCCATTACATGTAGAAAGTGAAGAGGATTGTCCCCCTCTCAAGCCAGAAGCAATGTTCACAGAAGTTGGTACACCTCACAGATATGCTAAGCCCGCAGTGGTGCGTAGTTACTATGCCGTTCATGTTGGGAGGCATGTTGGCATTCACACATTTGGGCAGCTTGTGAGAGAGAGAGGTGATAGGTTACGATGGTGCTCAACACAAAAGTTTTTAAAAATTTGACTAGTAAAGTGAAGATCAACTTCAAAGTGTTTTGTTTAATCATTGAACAATGTATAAAGCTAAGTTCATATACTGAGTGCCAAATTTACATAGTTGCTTTTGCTAGTGCATGATATTCTGCCTTGCATGAAAAGTATGATGTGTTGTTTTGCTTTTTACTACACCAAGAGATCAAAGAACTTCCCATTAGAAATATAAATGTACTTGTGAAGGTTCATTTGTCAATAAATATAAATATCAATATAAATATCACAAGCATAGGTTGCATCCAAATAATCCTAAATAGTGGATTCTTCTCTTTTTGGATACCAAAGGCCAAAATTAGGGTATTGATGTAATTAAAGCATCATACTTTATTTCATACATAAATACTTATTGTCTTAGTCTTCTCAACACTAAAGAATTTATCAATCAAGTAAACTTTGCAAGGATTATTGTAAATATCGTGTCTTGACTATAAATATATTCAATATTCATGGAGATTATGAAAATGTTTCATAATGCATAACATTATATGTTTCATGTTGTTGTTAAGAGCACTCATTATATGTTCTTATCCTTTCTCTTTAATAGTTGAGAGTGATGCCGAAAAAATTATCATAGTGCACCAACAAAACAATTTGTCTTGTTTCAAAATGTTTTTCATTTGAAATGTTTATTTGTACTAGTTGTCCATACCAATAAGATGGCAAGTCTTTGGAAGTAATAAATCTCTAGATTTGGTGATGTGTGTAGTGTGCACTATTCCTAATGCCATGTGGCATAAAATACAACTCATAGTCATGTAGAGCTGAAGCTATGATATCATGTAGAAAGCTATTACTTTGAAATTGGAGGAAATTTATAGTTTATTCAATTAGAAAATAGTACAAGATTAAATATTAATGTATGTGATTACATGTCAAGGACAAGAACTCGATGAAAAAACAATTCAAACAAGTGAGCATTCACTCAAAGAGAGGTAACAAAATATATATAAATAAGTATATATATTGAAAGAGAAACTGGAATGGCTATTGCCAAAAGATAAGAAAATAGAGACCCTTGAAACAGACTAGAAGCAACAAAGGAGTTGACAAGAGTGAAGAAGCCTTCACTCTTGTCTCTATATATACTATCTAAGTAAGAGCTACGTGGCGACGTTCTATAGGACCTCCAATAGGTGTTGACTTTATAGGGCACATGGCTTGACTTACAAGATAAGTTTTTCTACGTGTGGGCCACATAGTTAGCTTGATCTTCAAGCTAACAACATGTGTGGCACATGGCCAACTTTTTGACCACGTTTCTAATCCAAAAAGTCAATTAAAGACACCTATGAAGTCAAAGCAGCGTCTAGGAAGTTTTTAAGAAGCTTCCATATTAAATATTATAGAATTAACTTACTTTTACCTACTTTTATTTACTTCTACCTATTTCTATATGTAATTATTAGCTTACATGATTATGTCCGTGACATTACCCCCCTTTCTAGGAATGAGTTCCACGAGGAGCGGTCATCATATGTTGAAGAAATCTATGATGCGACGAATTGTATTTGCCACATACTCTGATCTCTGTTCTCTTCGAAGATGATTGATAGGGCCTCTCAACCATCGGTAGTGTCCCATACCAGGGCGGGAAGACCACCCAATTATTTGATCATTGTTGAGGCCTTCGTAACTTCCTTCGAATAGAATATTTGGAACACCATCAGGAGTTGTTCCTACCTCTAGCAAAATCACCAAACATCTGGAGTCCCTTCCCAAATCGTGATACCAAACGCGTTGTATCTCACCATCTATTCGAGGAAGAACATGTCGTTCTTGAAGATCTTCATCTCGATTGCGTCGTCTTGAAGGTTGTGACAATCGTAATGTCTTGTCCGACAGGTCAGCAAATGAAGGCTCTTGAGTTAAATCCGTTGGTTGTTGGTTCTCCATCTCCTGAGCGCCACTACTACAACGAAGCTACGAACAAGAATTGAAAGTAGAATGTTATCTTGCCTAGATGTTGTTTCTTTTATAAAGAAGGTTTTTATCTTGATTTTGATGGATGTCGTCGATGAAAAGCCTCCACCGCCTTTGCTGCATTTGCAAGGTTCTTCATTGGCTTCCATGTGCGTTCACTAATATCATATCCGCGCCAATGGACAAGATATTCTATTTTATTACGACACCGCCTTGAATCTAAGACTTCTTCTACTTCAAATTTTTCATTATTGTCCACTTCTATAGGAGGAGGTGGAGCTTATCGTCTTCTTGGTATGTCCACTCTCTTGTATGGTTGAAGAAGAGACACATGGAATACTGGATGGATTTTCATTGTCTTTGGTAGATGTAAACGATATGCAACTGGATTGATTTGAACAGAAATAGAAAATAGTCTCAGCCTTCGATAGTCCAACTTGTCGCAAGGATGAGTGGTCTTGATATTACGACGAAGTAGCCATACCTTATCACCCACGTTGAGTTGTAGTTGCTCCTTACAATATACATCTGCATTTATTTTTTGTCGTTCTTGAGCTTCCTTCAATTGCGCCTTCATTATTGCATGTAACTCTGACAACCGATTTTCCATATCTTCTGCTGCAGGATTATCAACTTTTGAAAAATCAAAAGCATCAAGTCGTGGATGATAGCCATAATTGGCAAAGAAAGGTGTTTGTTGCGTGGAGGAATGTACCGTATTATTATAAGCAAACTCTGCCAATGGCAGAAGGGTTGTCCAATCATCTTGTTGGTAGTTGATGGTACACCTTAAATACTGCTCCAAGACTTGGTTTACGCGCTTTATTTGTCCATCAGTTTGAGGATGGAAAGCCGAAGATAGCTTTATGTCCACTTTTAAAATCTTGAAAAGGGTCCTCCAAAATCTCGACACAAATTGAGTTCCCCTATCCGATATGATATCTTTAGGTAATCCATGATAGCGAAAGATATTATCAATGAAAAGCTTAGCTGTTTCTTCACCTGTGATAGATTTTGTACATGGCACAAAATGTGCCATCTTGGTGAAACGATCTACTATCACAAATATAGAATCATAACATCTTGAGCTTGGAAGATCTATGATGAAATCCATAGAAACAGAAGACCATGGTTGTTCTGATATAGGTAATGGCTGAAGAAGTCCGTAAGGTCGATGACGAGGAGTTTTTGATCTTGAACAAATATTACATGATTGTACAAAGTCTTTGACTGACTTCCACATTTGTGGCCACCAAAAATCTCTTGATATGAGTTCTAAAGTCTTATTATATCCAAAGTGTCCTGCTATTGGAAAATCATGACATGCTTGAAGAACACGTAAACGTGCTTCTCCTTCTGGAACATATAGGCGTCCTTCAAAATATAATAGATTATTCTTGAACTCGAACTTAGAAGAATCATGAGACTTGGAAGAATTATTCTCAATATCATGAACAAGAGGATCTAAGGACATACTGGACTAGATTTGTTTGAGAAAAGTTGAATCAACAGTCAATGTTGATTTCATTGCTCGGAGATGAAATTGCTCCGGTTTCAAGAGGACCGTTCTTTGTTGCTCAAAAGCTGCATCTCCTTCTTTTGGTGCAAAATAAGAACGTCTAGACAATGCATCGGATAAACCTTGTTGTTTTCCTGGTCGATAAGTGATAATGAACTCGAATCTTGACAAAGACATACTCCAACGAGCTTGACGACGATTCAACACACGTGTTGACATCAAATACTCGAGGTTCTTGTGATCTATATACACAGTGACTGGACTAGAAGCGCCTTCTAGATAATGACGCCATTCTTGAAAGGAATCCACGATTGCAAACAGTTCTTTATCGTGGATCTCATAATTGATCTTGGCTGCTGAGAATTTTTTTGAATGAAAAGCTATCGGATGAAGTTTGTCATTTGTTCCCATTTGTGACAAAACTGCACCAAGGAAAAATCCGATGCATCTGTTTCCATAAAAAATGCCTTGGAAAAGTCAACACGATATAAGACTGGTGCAGAGACAAACGATGTCTTCAAGGCTTCAAATGCTGCTTCCGCTTCTTGATTCCATTGGAATTTGTCTTTATTGGTCAAGCGTGTAAGTGGAGCTGCAACTCGTGAAAAGTCTTTGATGAAGATCCGATAGTAATTGGCAAATCCCAAGAAACATTGGACATCTCTTACTGTCCTTGGAATCTTCCAATCCATGATTGTTTGGACTTTCTTAGAATCCATCATGAGACCATCATTTGAAATGATGTATCCTAAAAAGTCAACTTGAGTAGTGTGAAATACACACTTTTTCATCTTGGCGTACAATCCTGCATCTCTAAGTTTTTGTAATACTTGACAAACATGTATTTTATGCTCTTCGACGTTGTTAGAATAGATCAAGATATCGTCTAGGTAGCAGACGACAAAATTGTCTAAGAATTCACGAAATACATCATTTATGAGATGTTGAAAAGCAGCTGGTGCATTCGTGAGTCCAAAAGGCATGACATTATATTCAAAATGTCCGTACCTGGTTCGAAACGTAGTCTTCCATTCATCTCCTTCATTCATTCGTACTAGATTATATGCTCCTCTTAGATCTATTTTTGTATAAATCTTAGCTTGATTCAACTGGTCAAGGAGTCCTGATATCAAAGGTAAAGGATATCTGTTCTTGATTGTGATCTTGTTGAGTCCTCGATAGTCAATATACATTCGCAAAGATCCATCTTTTTTCTTTACGAATAGAATTGGAGCTCCTGCTGGAGATTTTGTATGGCGTATGAAATTCTTCGCTAAATTCTCGTCAATATACGTCTTGAGTTCAGCCAACTCATCTTGCGATAAACTATAAATTGGTCCAAATGGTGGGTGAGTTCCTTCATTGAGGTCGATTGAACAATCATATGGGCGATGCTC